TTTATTTTACAGTTCTCTTTTCCTAAATATTTATATTTTAATACCACTTCCTCGGCTACTCTTAATTTGTGTGTGTGTGTGTGTGTGTGTGTGTGTGTGTGTGCGTGCGTGCGTGCGTGCGTGCGTGCGTGCGTGCGTGCCAGTTTGTTGGTCAGTTAGAGGTATAGCAGTCAGCTTTTCTTTCACCTGTGTAAGCTCAAAAGATGCTTTAGCCTGCGATAAACAATTTTTTTTTCTTTCTCTAAAAGTGCACTTTTTTCGACCACTAATATCGACATTCAACATATGTTGCGTGTTCTAGAGTTGGCATATCAGACTATCTCTGTAGCTGTGCAATAACTGATATTAACCACAAAAGACAGTTGCGCTTTCGATTCTCTTTTTTTTTTTTTTTATAGTTTACCATTCTGGGTCACAGCAATGTATGGCCGGGTACAGCTAGTTACTAATAAATTACAGACATTCATTAACTGGTGCCTGCGCAGAATAGAGGGAATTAAATGGTATGATAGAATAACTTATGTAGAGCGTTGGGAGAGAACTAAACAGGCTCCAGTGGAACAAGAGGTGAGGAGAAGACGCTAGCGCTGGATTGGACACACACTGCGAAAACAGAACAGAATAACCAGAATGTCTTTGCATTGGAACCCACAGGGGCATAAGAATAAAGGATGGCAAAAACACATGGAGAAGAGAGCTGGAGAATGAAGTTAGAAAGATAGGGAGGACATGGGGAGAGCTCCATGCAATGGCGAATGGTAGAACGACTTGACGTGATTTGGTTGAGGGCCTATGCTCCATTAAGGGATAGAAAGGCAGAAGAAGAAGAAGAATGGCAGAGACGCAGGACTGGGCCAGACTCGTTGCGCTGTTCAAAACCATTGCTCCTCACTGTATAACTTGGAGCTCCATATTTTGTTAAGGCTTTTAAAGATTGTTGTAGTTTTTCCAATACGTATCATAATTTCCTTCGTTGTATCTCCTCGAGAATCAAAATTGCTATCCAGATAGTTAAAATGGTCCATTACTTTTGTTGGTTTCTTCTCTAGTCTGGGAAGGTCTTGGAGAAGATAGTTGCTGTAAAGCTGCAAGAATTTTTGGAAAGGGGAAGCTTCTCCCAAGAGGTCTGGGAAGCTACAGGCCAGGAAAGGACCCATGGGCAAATGTGGCCACTTTTGCTTTTGACGTCTATGAAGGGTTCCAGAACAGACAGGAAACTATGGCGGTAGGAGTGGATCTCGAGGATGCTTATAACAGGGTTAAATACGACATCTTAATGACTGTACTGAAGGAGAAGGTCAGTCAATGACTGGTGAATTGGGTTGCAGCTGTCCTATATTCACGTCGGGTTGCTCTCCGATTGGGCTCATGGACCTCAGAACCATTCATTTTGGCCACAGGGATCCGCCATCTCGCCTGTGCTCTTTAACTGTATACGAGCAAGATTGCAAGTCTAGAAGCACCAGGAGTTGGAAGGATACTGACTTTTGCGGATGGTATACTTGCATTTAGGCAGGGGGAAGAGAGGGAACAAACAGCCCGGGAGCTACAAGTGACAGTAGACGAAGTGACTGAGTGGTGTACAGAAATGAAGGCTGTCGTCCACCCAGAAAAGAAGTCTCTTTTGTGGTGTTCTTTGGACAACAGAATCGTTAAAGCTAATGTCCCAAGTCTCACGACAGATGGTAGAGACGTCAACAGAGAGAGCAAACTAAAGTATTTGGGAATGACAGGAGCCTGTCATTTAAGGACCATGTGGAGAGTGTTGTGACAAGATGCCAAAAAGAACTTAGTGCACTTAAGACTATGGCTGCAATTGACATAGAGCAGAGAATGCTTTTCACACTATAACAGCACCTGATCCTGTGAGTGGTTGATTATGGCCTGGGAATGCTTACCGTCTCAAAGAGTCAGATGGACAAACTAGAGCGCATACAGAACGCTGCTGTACAGTTCATGGGTTGTATCAGAGACACCCCAGTGGTGTGTATGCGATACATCCTTGGTTTGCCGACGGTTGCAGGTAGGCTCAAGGTGTTGCAGGCGAAGTCATATCTCATGGTAGCTGCAGACACAGCACAGACCACCCTTTGCATGAAGCTCTGGGTGCAGTTAAGGGTCAGCGGCTGATAAGAGGGAGGTCATGAATGACTCAGGCAGAAGACACAATCAGACAGGTTTGCATCCTTGAGAAAATTAGGCGAGGAGAGGAGTGGGTCAAAGTGCCACCTGAACAGTCAGACTTGTGTAGAGTCATAATCACGCTGAGCCGGGAATGCAGAGACTGGCCAGCAGGTGCCTCGGAGGTGGAAATTCAGCAATTAATTCAAGATAATGCTCGCTTAAAAGATTTGATCATTTATACAGACGGTTCAGTGTCAAGAGGCAAAAGAAGTGCTTGGGGTTTCTTAGCAAAAGGTAATGGTCGACGTTTGGTGCAGGAGAGCCTAGCATATGATACCGCAACATCCAGCTTAAGAATGGAGTTGGAGGCGGTCACTGCAGCTTTCCGTTGGCTAGAGAAAAAGACACACATACACACATCGTGATTGTAACTGACTCTGAAAGCATGCTGAGGTATGCTTCGTGCAGAGTGGCATGCTTCGCTGCGGAGGACACGGGTGAGAAGTAGTGTCTGGATTTTTTCACCGGGTTACGTCGGTGTGTTGGGAAATGTACAAGCGGACAGACTGGCTGGCTCTGCACAACTTGGTGGAATACTGATACATAATAAGGCAGACGTGATTACTGCCTTGTGGGAGAGCGTGTACAGTTCGGTGGAGCAGATGGATCACCAGTCTGGTGAGATTGATGCAGGGGGGAGGGACGAGAGGTTCTGACAGATGCTCGAGGCTCAGAGGAAAGGCAAGACCGACGTTTAATCAGAAGGCTACTGACACCATTAGTATGGGAACTCTTCACTGGCTGATGAAGATGGGGACAGAGCGCTCATGGGAATGCCCCGAGTGATGTGATGTCGGTTCTTGAATAAAATAAAATCAAATGAAATCATTCTCTAGCATGACATCTACATTATATATTGTTAGTATCTTTAATATATTTGTTTCCTCATAACGTGTTTGTAGTCCCATTTTTAATGCCGTAGACGACACATTGTCTTTTTTTCTTTGCATGTTTTTTTTTTTTTACAGAATAATACTGTCTGCAAAATTCAGATCTTCCAGTTGTCTATTCTTTACCCAACCGACGCTAATATAGCCTTTGCAGTAATTTTTCACTACGCAATCAATGGCTACTCCAAACAACAAGGAAGCTAGATCGGAGCTTGCTTTCTCTCCAGTTTCCATTAAAAAACGAGTCACCTAGACCATTTTGAGAGCGCACCACAAATTCAAACTATTATATACATTTCTGATACTGCGTATTATTTTACTGGTATACCCCTGCTTTCATACATTTCCCATAATAAAATTATATGTAATCTGTCAAACACCTTCTTGAAATAAATTAATAAAATTTAGGATGAAAAGTTGTTGCCTTTCTGATTTTCGTAACGTTAATCCGCCCCTCCAAACTACTGGACGTCATTTGCCTAGAAAAACAACACAACAGCCAGGGGCTGTTAGGGTTGGTTATGCAACGTCCTGTAAAGGATACGCAACTAACCTATAATCCGCCCGTCATTTATGGGGAGTGTGGTGAGTGAGTGAGATTCAACCCCACCAGGACATCCACCAAGTGATAAAGAGCCGGTTACACAAAGTGCCACCATGTGGATAAGGTTCACCCTGGGAGAAGTCCCGGAAACCCCGTTCAATCGTTAGGTTATATTAGAGCTCCTGACTACAGCCGGGGTGGGGCTTTAAAATAACGAAAGAAATTGCGTCCCATATTGAGACGACGGAATTCAATCAGGAGTGTGGTCCTTTTTGCCTCTTCTTCAAACGTCATTAACCTTTAGAGATGACTCGGCCGATCTATCGGCTTAACAGCAAAGTAGCCAAAAAGACGGCTAGGCCGATCCGTCGGCCCTATAATACAAGCCTGTGGAGGTTTTCGTACCAGATATTCAGATTGCTTCTCGCATTTCTTGCATATGTGAGCTGTTCAGTGGCGGCTTTCGTGAAAGTTTGATGTGTTATGTAATTTTACATCAATTTTTCGGGGAGCTACCTGAGCTCAACAATGGTGACAAGGAATGTTGAGTCACAACAGCTAAAATATAGTATGAGGCATGAAAAATAATAGAGCCACGTGCCAGAGATGTCTTGGAGGCCTACATGGACCTTACTTCCCAAAACACAAGTTAGGACTTGTTCAGGCTTCATTCATCAGCAAATTAAGCCAAAAACTTGATCTTTTATCAGCACAATCATGTATTTGATTATCTTTTGCCGAATATACTAATTCTCATCACTTTGTGGGATACAATGTTTAGTTCTTGTAAAGCCTCATCCTGGCTTTTTTTCTTTACTTCTACTTCTTCTTCTTCTTCTCTTCCACCTTGTACCTCATCGAAGTGTCGGGGGGGGGGGGGGGGAAGGGGGAGGTGTGACGGGGGCCCTAAATATAGCTTAACGGCGGAACGGGGTTTCCGGGACCTCTCCACGGGTGATCCTCATCCGCATGGTGGTACTTTGTGTCACCGGGTGTTTATTGCTTTGTGTGATGTCCTGGTGTGGTACAACTACCTACCTCTACCTACTGCTTGGTTGTTCTGTTGACCAGAATGGCGTTCTTTTCTTCGAGTTTCTGTAGCTATGGAAACATCTTGTGGTTAGGTGGCTGGAGCAAAACTTATTGTTATCCGTTTACTGTGCTATTCATTGCTGGATTTTCCTTTCTTCAAACATTGTTATTGTTCGAATATCCAATCCATATTGGGCATCATAAATTAGTTGTTGCATGCACGGTGGCGCTCGTATATTTGATTTATCCCTGATAATTTCAGTCCAATTTTTTATTTTAAAGTATGGCCGCGAGACCATGATGAGGAAAACATATCGTCAATGACAGAGGACAACAATATATAAAGGACAATGAGTTTTCTTATTAAAACAGCCAAGACTCTGAGGAATCATTGGAAAAAGTCAACTTTTTTTTTCTGTGTTGCCGTCTATGGTGCCAAGTATGCAAACGATCGCCACAAGTATGTTGTAAATGTATTAGTAATCATCATTCATTTATGATTTATGATTATGAATCATGTACTTTTACTAGCAGAATTAATTAACATAAAGTGTATTGATCGGCACTCATAGAAAGAAGTAGAAAGATATAACACATGGCGAGGCGCACACGCCGTCTGGAGGTGACAGGTTCAATTCCCGGCACAGAAATTATAGCTTTCGATTTTTATGTTGTCTAGTGAAGTCTAGTGTGTTCTTCAATCTTTCTACTTCTCTCTATGAGTGCTGATCAATACTAATACACGTTCTGTTACTTGATTAAGTTATTATATTTAAAGGCCTCAAAGGTTCCCCCTCTGTTTATTTATAGAAATGACGTTTTACTAGCAGATAGATGGCTCACCCTAAATCAAAATCTACATGAAAAATGAAACTATTTATGATTCAGTGTTCACTGTTTTAAAGTAGCAGTCACTCGTAGTCAATTTTTCAAAAGATTTGTTTTGCAAAATCAAAAGTAAAAATACATACAGTGTACAGTGGAACCTCACTTAACGAGCATAATTCATTCCAGAATCATTCTCGTTAAGCGAAACACTCGTTTATGCAAAACAATTTTTCTCATATAAATTAATGTAAAATACGATAATGCGTTCCATGTCAAAAAAAAATTCTAAAAAAGTGCGATATATAATGTTTATTCAAAGACAATTACTAATTATGTGCATATTGTTAAAGAGAGTAAATCATCTTCATCTTTTCTTCAAACGTGGAACGAACGCACCTGGAATGCGAATTCAAATTGCAGAAAACAAAACCAAAAATCTGAAATAATTAGGATACATACCTAATTATTTTTTACTAGAAATATGTCCAGACACATTTGTTTTTGCCGACGCTTCAAAATTTGGCGAACATGCTACACAGCATTCTCATTAAATAAATTTGCAGCGCCCATAGACACTTTTTCATTATGGTGATGCTTCTCAATGTAAGATGCAACAGTTTCCCATGCTTTTAGTATTTTTCTTTTTTCGCCAGAAGATTGTTGCTTTTCTGTTACCTCTTCCTCCTCCTCTGACAAACTTTCCTCCAAAACTACTTGCTGTGAAACACAGTGCAACTCCATAAGCTCTTCGGTAGTCATCTCTTGGCTGTGCTCTTCCACAAACTTTTTGATATCACTGTTATCCACCTACAATCCCATGATAGTAGCCAAAGACACAATCTCGTTGACTACAGGTTCCACAGGTACTGTCTCAAACCCCTCAAAGTCACAAATCGACAACACTCTCCGGCCAAAGCTTTTTCCAAGCAGAAGTTAGGGCTCTCTTGGTAACCCCTTCACCCGCTTTGTCGATCATTTTGAGGCAGGCAATGATGTAAAAGTGATTTTTCCAAAACTCTTTGAGACTGAGGTTGGTCCCTTCTGAAAGCAATGCTCGAAAAGTGCTTTAGTGTAGAGCTTCTTAAAGTTAAAAATAACTTGCTGGTCCATGGGCTGGAGTAACGGAGTGGTGTCAAGAGGCAGAAACTGGATCTTGATGAACTTAAATTCTTCAGGGAGGTCATCTTGTGGGCCTGGAGGATTTATGTACATATATCACAATATAACACAGGTTTGAGAAAACATTTGATAAAAAGCGACACTACGATGCTACTGGAACGAGTGCTAAACACAGACTGATGTAACATGCGCACAATCCGGGACTTCCCCTCTCCTCGCCACTCGTTATGCGAAACGTTGCTCGTTAAGCAAGTCATTCTTTTAAAATTTGTTTTGCTCTTACTTGCGAATTACTCGTTATGAGAGGTGCTCGTTAAGCCAGGTTCTACTGTATGTCACATGTAAATTGCGGACTTCCGCCACAGCCAAGAGTATCTCCCACGTCGCTTCGCGCGGCGTGGAGTGGGCCTAAACTAGATGGCTGGGACTCATGAGCAAATAAAATGAAGGAAGCTGCAGGAGATGCGGCAGCTGCTGCTCGTGAGCCCCAGCCATCTAGTTCGGCCCCAATCCTCACCGCACGTAGCGGCGTGGGAGATACTCTCGGGGGTAGCGGTAGTCGCAGGAAGTGCGCAATTTGAGTCACCGGAAGTCTGCAATTTACATGTGACTGAGGCCCTGTTAGGGTATATTTTCGGCATCGATAATTTGGGACTGTTATTCGGATGATAGCCTGTATATATATATATTTATATATATTAAATAGTCAGTCAGTCAGTAGCATGTCCTTTGCGGCAGAAACTGTCTCCCATAACAACCTTTTGGAAAACTTCTTAATCACAAGATGTCCCGCATCTTCAATATTCAGTTCTTGAAGTATGAATGCATTTGTTCATTCTTTGATATTCTTAGCACCCGGCTATGACATTTGTATTCAAAGGCATTTATGCGCTGTTCAGCTTGTTTAGTAAGTGTCCCAGTCTCACTGGCGTATGTTGCAATAGAAATGCTCTTAAAAATCAAATTTGTGTAGTTCTGTCTGTCCCACTCCATAATTCATTCAGTTATTTTTATTTTTGAAGAGAAGAGTGACCAACATATTCACAGTTTTCCACGACCTTCAATCTTTCCACGACCTTCAATCTTTCCTCATTAACACGTATTTTTTTCTCCATGGTAGTTTTATCTGTCTATTTCACTATTTCTTTGGGTTGAGTTTATAAGGTTTTCTTTACCAGTCTATGATGTGGATAGCAATACTGTATCATTAGCACATCGGATCTCTGGTATTTCATGACCACCGATATTTAGGGCATCATATGCTCGCTGGTTATATCATCTATGTCATTTCTCATTATATTTTTGGTGTCCCGGTTAAACAAATAGGGCCACAGCACACAGCCCTGACGGACTCCTTGCTCGATGTCAAACCAGTCTGATGTCTCACCATCTAACCGCTGCTTGTTGGTCTAGATAGAGCATTGTTATGACATTTACTGCATGTGATGGAAAGCCCATATTCCTCAATATTTCCTAAAGTTTCTGATACTGTACATTCAAATGCCTTTGAAAAATCCACAAAACATGCGAATAGGTTTACATTAAATTCTCTGGACTTCTCTATTATTAAATGCATGATGAGGATGTGATCTCTTGTTCCTTTTCCTTTTGTAAAGTTAATATCTTCTTCCATTTTCTTACAGTCTTCCCTTTATGATTTTTAGTAAAATTTAGGGTGCTGTCCCAATATCTCCCTCCCCCCCCCCCCCCCCCCCCAATGATGTCACAGGACAGTCCAGTATTTTCGAGGGTGGTAAGAGCGGGTTTCCCAGCTTTCTATTGCAGAGTGCAGCCTATGTCCCATGACTGCATGCAGCCTATCTTCACCCCCTAAATATTTGACTGTCTGTTTGGGGGGGGGGGGGGGGGAGATATTGGGATAGAACTGCATTTTACTTGCATGACTGATCAAGGTAACAGTTCTATAGTTGATGTGTTATTTGAGGTTGCCCTTTTTTCAGGCTGCCCTATGTTCCAATCATAGATACTATATAAATTGTTTATTACATACATAGATAATACAGATACAGTTTGTAAAATTAATTTACAAATGTAACTAATACAGTTATAAATTTGGAATAGATTCATATATGCTAAACCTAATAATAGTGTAATCTACAGATGCGTGCAAGTTGCCGAGATGACAAATTGTTTGTAACATTTGATGACTTAGCCACATGCATCCACATCTGATAATCTGATAACTTAATGTTAGTATTCTTGTATTTGTTTATTTACAGTGATAACCTTTTGAGGAGACAATATTGTGAGGAAGCAAAGGTAAACAAACCTTATTTATGAACTAAATTATTTAAGTATAATTTCAAGAAATAAGTAATCATTTTTCAAGATCATAATATTTTGCTTTTTGTTTCTCTGATTCCATGATCGCGCCACTGTTTTCTTTAGATTCCAGTATTTCCATATTTTATGTAAAGACACTTGAATGCTGAATTCTTTCACCAATATTCTTGATTTAAAACGTGAGTTTGCTTACTGTGTCACCTTTGTCGAACTTACTAAAACTCCACTTGTTTTAAAGCTCTCCGCCCATTCTTTATTTAAGCTTAATCATTGTTTGAGTTAATTAATTTGTAATTGTCTATTCACATCATAGATGTTGTAGATTAAAAAAAATTCAAATGAATTGTATTCATCTGCAGAATTTAATGCCATTTTAAAGTCATTTTTAAAAAAGAAACAATTTTTGTGAATCAAATCTAATTTCTTTGCAAATAAAAATAATTTATTATATACAGCTCTAATCCATCCATCTTGTCTTCCTTGTGTGGTCAACAGTCATTTTTAAAATGACTGTTCAATAATTGCTAAGTTTGATGGTTGACACTTTAAAACTGCCAAATTTGATGACTGTCTAAGTTCCTTTTTTCATTATCAATGGCTGAGGTTGTTTTCTGTTCAAACCTGGCTGTCTAGTTAGAATTGCTGTTTTCTTTTAAACCTTTTCTGGTTTTTTAAAAATGGGGTGACAAGCCAACTGTAACCTTGATGAAGGAATTTTCGTGGAAAAACAACCAGTCTGTAGAGAAACTGAGCCAGAGAGGATAGAACCCACTTCTGTCAACTTTAAAACGCCTTTTTAATTTTTTTAAATTTTATTTTTTAAGATGAAAAAAATGACCCTAATGACACTTGGTGGATACAGACATTGTCTGTATTATGATGGTTGACTAACTAGAGTGGCAGTGACACTTGGTGGATACAGACATTGTCTGTATTATGATGGTTGACTAACTAGAGTGGCAGTGACACTTGGTGGATACAGACATTGTCTATATTATGATGGTTGACTAACTAGAGCGGCAGTGACACTTGGTGGATACAGACATAGTCTATATTGTGATGGTTGACTACTAGAGTGGCAGTGAGACTTGGTGGATACAGACATAGTCTTTATTGTGATGGTTGACTACTAGAGTGGCAGTGAGACTTGGTTAATACAAACATAGTCTATATTATGATGGTTGACTAACTAGAGTGGCAGTGAGACTTGGTGGATACAGACATAGTCTATATTGTGATGGTTGACTACTAGAGTGGCAGTGAGATTTGGTGGATACAGACATAGTCTTTATTGTGATGGTTGACTACTAGAGTGGCAGTGAGACTTGGTGGATACAGACATAGTCTATATTGTGATGGTTGACTAACTAGAGTGGCAGTGAGACTTGGTGGATACAGACATAGTCTATATTGTGATGGTTGACTACTAGAGTGGCAGTGAGACTTGGTTAATACAAACATAGTCTATATTATGATGGTTGACTAACTAGAGTGGCAGTGACACTTGGTGGATACAGACATAGTCTATATTGTGATGTTTGTCCAGCTAGAGTGGCAGTGAGACTTGGTGGATACAGACATAGTTTATATTGTGATGGTTGTCTAGCAGAGTGGCAGTGAGACTTGGTTAATACAAACATAGTCTATATTATGATGGTTGACTAACTAGAGTGGCAGTGACACTTGGTGGATACAGACATAGTCTATATTGTGATGGTTGACTACTAGAGTGGCAGTGAGACTTGGTGGATACAGACATAGTCTTTATTGTGATGGTTGTCCTGCTAGAGCGGCAGTGAGACTTGGTTAATACAAACATAGTCTATATTGTGATGGTTGACTAACTAGAGTGGCAGTGACACTTGGTGGATACAGACATAGTCTATATTGTGATGGTTGACTACTAGAGTGGCAGTGAGACTTGGTGGATACAGACATAGTCTTTATTGTGATGGTTGTCCTGCTAGAGCGGCAGTGAGACTTGGTTAATACAAACATAGTCTATATTATGATGGTTGACTACTAGAGTGGCAGTGAGACTTGGTTAATACAAACATAGTCTATATTATGATGGTTGTCTAGCTAGAGTGGCAGTGAGACTTGGTTAATACAAACATAGTCTATATTATGATGGTTGACTAACTAGAGTGGCAGTGAGACTTGGTTAATACAAACATAGTCTATATTATGATGGTTGACTAACCAGAGTGGCAGTGAGACTTGGTGGATACAGACATAGTCTATATTATGATGGTTGACTAACTAGAGTGGCAGTGAGACTTGGTGAATACAGACATGGTCTATATTATGATGGTTGTCTAGCTAGAGTGGCAGTGAGACTTGGTGAATACAGACATAGTCTATATTATGATGTTTGTCCAACTAGAGTGACAGACTTGGTGGTACAGACACATTTATTGCCTTTGCATTTGCTACCTAGTCAGCAGTACTGGACACAAAATGTAGTGTCCTAGGTGATCGTGGGAGTGACCGTATGCCATGCTCAGTCATGATTTCTAAAGCTAATTAAATCTGGTTTGTGAGAACACAAAAGACTTCAAAGTATGAGAGGGCAAACACCCTTCTTGGATGCCTTGGTCGCCTTGGACAGAAGGTATGCAACAAAACTACCAGTTGTGCTTTTGTGCGGCCTCCAACATGGACCCCAGAAGTATAACAGGTATGGAAACTAAAGAGAGCAGTAGATGAACAGTTAGAGTATATATGAAAGAACCTTACAGGTTACAGTAGGAGGTAGAGAAGGCATGATGGGTGCAAAAAGAAAAAGTAGAAGAGTTTAATTAGTGTGCAGCAGATGCCAAAAAAAGTATAAATGAAAACATTTTATTAATGAAATTGGAGGGGAGCAGATGGGAACTACAAGCCTATCAATCATATTGAGATATATTGGCAACAGATAGATAGATAAATGGATCCTAAACACTGGAAAGGTTTTCCATTGTTGACTGGCAAATGTTGTTCTTCTAGTCTGTAGTTTTCCTTTATTGAGAGTACTATACAGTTGTATTGGCCACTGGTTCCATATTAAAGAGCAACTCATATTTAATTCCATGAAAAATTCATTGTATCTTAACAGAAATATGGAGAAGAGAAAATCCAGCTTGGTCACAGACCAAGGAGGGTGACAGTGTTCTTAAACCCAGCAGCTCATGGAGGGTAAGTGGTTTTACACATATTCTCATCATTTACAAGTCTGTGTTTCATCCTGTGTAATCTTATACATACAGTATGTTACAGCTACTAGTTTTGACAAATTTTTTTATTATGTTCATGCATTTTGTGACGTTTGTTGTGTGGTATATGTTAGGTGTAACATGTTTCTTGTTATGTGAGTGCAGTTTGTAACTTTTGTTCTGTGACATTTGTCACATGACCGTTTTGTATTCACTAATCTGTTTTCTCATCAAAATGCAACACACTTTCAGGAAGGCAAGAAAATTGTTTGAGAAAACAGCTGCCCCAATTCTCTACCTTGCAGGAATAGAAGTCAATGTGGTGTCAGTGAGTATAAATTGATTTGTCATTATATTATTTCTTTTTATTTTCCCCATCTGGGTTCCAGGGCCATATTGAAGGGGGGAAAAGAATAAGACTTCCCACCCCTTCTCCACCCGCAGAAAAGCATGTCATAAAAGTACACTAATTAGGGGTGTTTCCTTTAAAGTCAGAGTTCGTTTAAGCAAAATCCGTAAAACGAATGTGCACGCAAAATTCAAATTCTGGATTGAGACCAAAATCCAGAAAACAACCAGAACCTTTTGCTGGAGTTAGCAGCTGGTGAACACCAAGAAGAGAAGAAACATGTCTTCTTTGTTGTGCAAGAAGTCTTTCCTGTTTACATAAACACACACACAATATGTCTCCTGTGCTGTGCAAGAAGTCTTTCCTGTTTACATAAACACACACACAATATGTCTCCTGTGCTGTGCAAGAAGTCTTTCCTGTTTACATAAACACACACACAATATGTGTCCTGTGCTGTGCAAGAAGTCTTTCCTGTTTACATAAAAACACACAATATGTCTCCTGTGCTGTGCAAGAAGTCTTTCCTGTTTACATTTTTTTTTTTTTTTTTTTTACGTATCCAGAAACCATGAGTTGTAAACCCTTTGGCTCGGTACTATGGATATCGCAACCCTTCGGCATTGATTCCATTATAGGTACCGTTAATCTGGGAGGAATGTGGCTTTTCTGCCTACCCCCGGGAGTGAACCCGGACCACAAGGATTTCGTCACCCGGCCGCCGCGAAAGTCACGTTTAACCAACTTCGCTAGATCCTGTTTACATAAAAACACACAATATGTCTCCTGTGCTGTGCAAGAAGTCTTTCCTGTTTACATAAAAACACACAATATGTCTCCTGTGCTGTGCAAGAAGTCTTTCCTGTTTACATAAACACACACACAATATGTCTCCTGTGCTGTGCAAGAAGTCTTTCCTGTTTACATAAACACACACACAATATGTCTCCTGTGCTGTGCAAGAAGTCTTTCCTGTTTACATAAAAACACACAATATGTCTCCTGTGCTGTGCAAGAAGTCTTTCCTGTTTACATAAACACACACACAATATGTCTCCTGTGCTGTGCAAGAAGTCTTTCCTGTTTACATAAACACACACACAATATGTCTCCTGTGCTGTGCAAGAAGTCTTTCCTGTTTACATAAACACACACACAATATGTCTCCTGTGCTGTGCAAGAAGTCTTTCCTGTTTACATAAACACACACACAATATGTCTCCTGTGCTGTGCAAGAAGTCTTTCCTGTTTACATAAACACACACACAATATGTCTCCTGTGCTGTGCAAGAAGTCTTTCCTGTTTACATAAACACACACACAATATGTCTCCTGTGCTGTGCAAGAAGTCTTTCCTGTTTACATAAACACACACACAATATGTCTCCTGTGCTGTGCAAGAAGTCTTTCCTGTTTACATAAACACACACACAATATGTCTCCTGTGCTGTGCAAGAAGTCATTCCTGCTTACATAAACACACACAATGTCTCCTGTGCTGTGCAAGAAGTCATTCCTGTTTACATAAACACACACACAATATGTCTCCTGTGCTGTGCAAGAAGTCTTTCCTGTTTACATAAACACACACACAATATGTCTCCTGTAATGTGCAAGAAGTCATTCCTGTTTACATAAACACACACACAATATGTCTCCTGTGCTGTGCAAGAAGTCTTTCCTGTTTACATAAACACACACAATATGTCTCCTGTGCTGTGCAAGAAGTCATTCCTGCTTACATAAACACACACAAAGTCTCCTGTGCTGTGCAAGAAGTCTTTCCTGTTTACATAAACACACACAATATGTCTCCTGTGCTGTGCAAGAAGTCTTTCCTGTTTACATAAACACACACAATATGTCTCCTGTGCTGTGCAAGAAGTCATTCCTGTTTACATAAACACACACACAATATGTCTCCTGTGCTGTGCAAGAAGTCATTCCTGTTTACATAAACACACACAATATGTCTCCTGTGCTGTGCAAGAAGTCTTTCCTGTTTACATAAACACACACAAAATGTCTCCTGTGCTGTGCAAGAAGTCATTCCTGCTTACATAAACACACACAATGTCTCCTGTGCTGTGCAAGAAGTCATTCCTGTTTACATAAACACACACACAATATGTCTCCTGTGCTGTGCAAGAATTCATTCCTGTTTACATAAACACACACACAATATGTCTCCTGTGCTGTGCAAGAAGTCATTCCTGTTTACATAAACACACACACAATATGTCTCCTGTGCTGTGCAAGAAGTCATTCCTGTTTACATAAACACACACAATATGTCTCCTGTGCTGTGCAAGAAGTCTTTCCTGCTTACATAAACACACACAAAATGTCTCTTGTGCTGTGCAAGAAGTCATTCCTGCTTACATAAACACACACAATGTCTCCTGTGCTGTGCAAGAAGTCATTCCTGCTTACATAAACACACACAATGTCTCCTGTGCTGTGCAAGAAGTCATTCCTGCTTACATAAACACACACAATCTGTCTCCTGTGCAGTGCAAGAAGTCATTCCTGTTTACATAAACACACACAATACGTCTCCTGTGCTGTGCAAGAAGTCATTCCAGCTTACATAAACACACACAATACGTCTCCTGCGCTGTGCAAGAAGTCATTCCTGCTTACATAAACACACACATCTCTTGTGTTGTGCAAGAAGTCATTCCTGCTTACATAAACACACACAATACGTCTCCTGCGCTGTGCAAAAAGTCATTCCTGCTTACATAAACACAAACAATACATCTCTTGTGTTGTGCAAGAAGTCATTCCTGCTTACATAAACACACACAATACATCCCTTTGCTTTGCAAGAAGTCTTTCTTGCTTACATAAACACACATAGCATGTCTCCTTGCTGTGCTGTGCAAAAACCCAGTCTTACTTTATGTGTAGTCTGACTTTTCACTTTCTGTTTGTTAGAAAATAAGTAATATGTTGTCTCATCACAGTCTGCCTGAAAAAAACTAGGTCTTTCATCAGCTTTCCCACCTTATATACTTTCATATTCAAGGAGTCACTCATATCCTGTGCCCATCTTTGTGTTGGTCTGCTCTTCTTTCTGGTACTATGCCTTCTGCTTTAAAAAAAAAAATATGCTTTGGCGTTTGATATGACCAAAATATTTAAGCTTCCAAAACAAGGTACATATTAGCCAGTCTTCCTTGATGTTCAGATCTTTTAAAATATGTTGTATCATGATCATCATGTAGAAGGTCCTTTGCAGAACATTTGCTCTCTTCAGAGTCTGCCTGAAATAAACTCAGTCTCTCACCAGCTCTCCCGCCTAGTGTACTTTCATATTCAAGGAGTCACTTATATCCTGTGCCCATCTTGGTGTTGTTCGGCTCCTTCCCCTCCTTCCCAGTACTGTGCCCTTTGTTATTATTTTTCTAGTACACCATGGTGTTTAATATGACCAAAATATTTCAACTTTTGAGACATGATGCTGTCTATTAGGCCATCCTTGATGTTCAGATCTTTTAAAATGTCAGCATTTCTTCTCTTCCTTGTCCATGGTATTCTGAGAATCTTGCAGATGGCCAACCTATGAATCACACCGACATTGTTAAAATAATATTAGGACACCTGTGAGACTTCACCAAACAGTGTATCCTGTAATCCTGTATGGGTAAGAGTGTAATACTTCATGCAGCATTTCATAAATCACCTTTTACTTTTGAATTTGAAGGTTGTGTTAAATTGTTTGTCTATGTGTGCACATCTTTTGAATGTTGGTGCATGGATGTTGAGTCTGTGATTGTGTATGCAGTGTATAATTTACCATGCAGTTGTATAATACACATTGATGTATTGAGACTTGGCAGCAGTGTCAAATATGATTACATTGGTGTAATTGTTCTCTCTAGACAGAGTATGAAGGACAGGTGAAGAGTTTTATGTCAGTCTTAGACACTACAGATACTGATGCTGTTGTTGTTGCTGGTGGCAATGGGACAGTTCTAGAGGTAATTTGTGACATAATGCAAGAGAAGTAGTTGTTGTATGTACTGATGCATCGGTTAATCAGATATGTGTTTGTAATTTAGTTTGTTTCCATGAGAGTATGACGGTCAGTCGTGACAGTGCGGTCCCTTCTGTAGGAAAAACTGCTGATCCATGAGTGTATGATGGTTAGCCCTGTCAGTGTGGTCCTGCTATAGGAAAAACTGCTGATCCGTGAGTGTATAATGGTCAGCCCTGACAGTGTGGTCCCTGCTGTAGGAAAAACTGCTGATCCGTGAGTGTATGATGGTCAGTCCTGACAGTGTGGTCCCTGCTGTAGGAAGGACTGCTGGTCCATGAGTGTATGATGATCAGCCCTGACAGTGTGGTCCCTGCTGTAGGAAGGACTGCTGGTCCATGAGTGTATGATGATCAGCCCGGACAGTGTGGTCTCTGCTGTAGGAAGGACTGCTGGTCCATGAGTGTATGATGATCAGCCCGGACAGTGGTCCCTGCTGTAGGAAGGACTTCTGGTCTATGAGTGTATGATGGTCAGCCCTGACAGTGTGGTCCTGCTTTAGGAAGGACTGCTGGTCTATGAGTGTATGATGGTCAGCCCGGACAGTGTGGTCCCTGCTGTAGGAAGGACTTCTGGTCTATGAGTGTATGATGGTCAGCCCTGACAGTGTGGTCCTGCTGTAGGAAGGACTGCTGGTCTATGAGTGTATGATGGTCAGCCCGGACAGTGTGGTCCCTGCTGTAGGAAGGACTGCTGGTCCATGAGTGTATGATGATCAGCCCTGACAGTGTGGTCCTGCTGTAGGAAGGACTGCTGGTCTATGAGTGTATGATGGTCAGCCCGGACAGTGTGGTCCCTGCTGTAGGAAGGACTGCTGGTCTTTGAGTGTATGATGATCAGCCCGGACAGTGTGGTCCCTGCTGTAGGAAGGACTATTGATCCGTGAGTGTATGATGGTCAGCCCTGACAGTGTGGTCCCTGCTGTAGGAAGGACTGCTGGTCTTTGAGTGTATGATGATCAGCCCGGACAGTGGTCCCTGCTGTAGGAAGGACTGCTGGTCCATGAGTGTATGATGATCAGCCCTGACAGTGTGGTCCTGCTTTAGGAAGGACTGCTGGTCTATGAGTGTATGATGGTCAGCCCGGACAGTGTGGTCCCTGCTGTAGGAAGGACTGCTGGTCTATGAGTGTATGATGATCAGTCCTGACAGTGTGGTCCCTGCTGTAGGAAGGACTGCTGGTCTATGAGTGTATGATGATCAGTCCTGACAGTGTGGTCCCAGCTGTAGGAAGGACTGCTGGTCTTTGAGTGTATGATGATCAGCCCGGACAGTGTGGTCCTGCTTTAGGAAGGACTGCTGGTCTTTGAGTGTATGATGATCAGCCCGGACAGTGTGGTCCCTGCTGTAGGAAGGACTGCTGGTCCATGAGTGTATGATGATCAGCCCTGACAGTGTGGTCCTGCTTTAGGAAAAACTGCTGGTCCATGAGTGTATGATGGTCAGCCTGGACAGTGTGGTCCCTGCTGTAGGAAGGACTGCTGGTCCATTAGTATATGTTGGTGTTGGGAGTCTGCTATCTTTAGGAACACTCCAGATACTTCATTTATGCTAACAAACTTTATGCAAACAAATTTTATGCAAGTGTGTCTTTTATCTAACCATCCCTTTCATGAAACCCGTATGTATTTATATGTATGTGTATGTGTGTGTATATATATATATATATATATATATAAATCAATGTTTGTGTGTTTGTTTCACCCCTATAGACTCGGAAACTACTGAACCGATTTAGCTGAAATTTTCAGGATATGTTTGTTGTGATACCGGATTTTGAACTGTCGTGGTTTGAAATTCAATCTGTCACTGTTAGAGATAGGTGACCACAATTTATGCCAAAATATATGCAACTAATATTTATAACTTTAGTGATTTCTAATTATAGCCACGTTAGTAATTGCGCATGCGCCGTATTTACCATTCGCCGGCGAGTTACGTGCAGCCAACGCCTTCTCTAATACTAATACATAGAGTAGGTCGTGGTACAGCAAACAAGACTATCTCTATATTTGCCACAATAACCATATTAAACACGATTTCTATTTTTTTTTTTTCAAACAACCTTTGATTGGGGGGGGGGGGGGGGGCAATCAGGACTATCTCGACGTCGGCGCAGACAGTGACTGCGACATTAACTTCATTAACCGTGTTAGACACGTGCGATTTCTATTTCATTAATATATCTGGAGTATCTGTCTATGAGAAAACAATTGCCTGCGGTTTTGAATTGTGTTTTAATCGCGACACAGTAGTATGGACTCACATGTCTAATAGTTGAGTTCTCTTTTCGTTGTTCCGATTAAGTGGCTGCTTGGTCGAATGGTTAGAACACTGTGTTCATGTGCGGTAGACCTGGGTTCAAATCCGCAGTCGTTAAATTTTTTTTTGGCCCCGGACTAAAATAATATCCTCATCTGCTCTGCCGTGGTGACAGCACTAGCCATGTTGCCTTAATATTAAAAAAAAAAAAAAAAAAACAAGTAAATGGGTAAACCATTTGATAATTAAATTTGACCATTTCGCATACTTATGATTGCATTGTTAAACTTTCCGATTGCATGGTTACGCTGAAATTTTATAGATTTTCATTTATTTTCATTTAGATTTAGTTATTTCATCTGTGTTGGAATTTTAAGCTGTGCTGTTTACAATGGCGTTCATTTCCTAATTATGGTGTTTTTTTCCTGTGTTCGTTTGCTTTTCAAGTGTTTTTTTTTTCCTCCCAACTACTTCAATGAGGGAAAGAGTTGTCGGTGAATTTGGGGGGAGGGGGGAAGGGGGGGGGCAAACTATTAACTGAGAGAGCTTTAAGTCACAGTAACTGCTTTACCCACTTAAAGTAGCAGCAGCAGTAATAGTTGTTACACCAGGGCTGTTACACCATAGTGCTCTCATGTGAAGACCGCCAGTAAGGTTATGGCGTTCTTCTGTCGGCAAGTGAAATTATACATCCTAACCTGACCAGTCTGTGGCGACAGCACTAGCCATGCGGGACCAAATCTTCTGGCTCACGACTCTCTGTCTACTCCGATGGTAACACAGATAGCAGTGACATTATTTTAGTAGTTGTACTGGTACTTGAAGGATGATGTGGTAAATATTACACTAGCCCTATTCACTACCTTTTACAATTCCTGCTCCCTATTTTAGTCCAGATGGACAGATATGTCAATGTCAGTTACAGCAACAACAAAATATCCCCAGTTAGTGATTTTCAAATCCTTCGAAGAGGGAGAGAGCAGTAGTCGGTGGAAGAGGGGAGGGGGTAATGACTTAAATTTAAGAGAAATTAAAGAGCTTTACACTTGATTTTCAAGTTCTCATTGCCTAATTTGTTTATATTTTACTAACGCTACCTCCGCTTTTCTATTTTTTATGACTTACTTTGTTATTCACAAGTACAGTTGTAGCTTTACTTCCGTCCCCTATAAAAATACAAACAGCTTTAGCATGTGATAACCAAATAACCATTTTTGTTACTGTGCTAATAACACCATTTAAACGACCACTAATATAAAAACACAATTATAAGGTGCGTGTTCTAAAGTTGGAAAACCAGACTATCGCTATATCCGTGCAGAGAATGATTGCGACATTAACTGTATTAGACACGTGCGATTTCCATTGTCTTTCTTTTCCAAAAACCTTTGATGAGGGAGATAGTAGTAGGTGGATTTAGTTGTGGTGGTGGGCGGGGATCAAAGACTATCTCTATATCTGAGCAGACAATGATTGTATTAGACATGTGCGTTTTGTATTTTCTTTCATTTCCATTTAGCCAAACTATGCCACAGCAACGTGTGGCCGGGTACAGTTAGTATTTCTATAAATGTGTGTGTGTGTGGAGGTTGGTTGGGGGGGGGGGGGGGGGGTCACAGTTGCTTACTGATAACTTGCCTATTGTGGATTCTGGAGCATCATTTAGAGGTGGGGGGATAGACCCACTGCCCCTTAAAAGGCAACAAATGGTTTGTTGAAATTACACATGTTGGGTCGTATGTTGCAGATATTCATGCTTGGCTGCAAATCACAAGGAAAAACAGAAGAAGCCTACTGAAAACCTATTTGGGATGATAGAGCAGCGCAGTAAGCAAATAAAAAGTCTAATACAGTTGTGATATACACCAAAGCAAATTCTGTAACACAGTCCCTACTAAGATGGCACTTTGATACCATGTGGGTGGGGGAAGTCAGTGCATCAATCTCATTTCATAGATGGAAGCTATTTTCAGGACTCAGTTCACCAGAATCTCAGGGCATCAGACATGAAGTTAACATACAAGAATATAGATGGCTTACCCCATCTGAGGTCTTTGGTGTTGGTAAGCCAATAAACAACCCAGCAAACTTGTCACTACTGCACAACTTGGAGAGTTTAATTTGAGAGTTTTTGAAGCAACACTTTGAGAATATACATTCACAAACTGTATCTTGTTTGTTGGCTGTATAAATATGAATTTATGGCCTATCTTCAAACTGTCCTTACCCACACAGGACTTCAAGTTATACATGACTGATATAGACATTATGGTTGTCCTAATTATAACTTGTTTTGAGGTTGAACGGGGTATCTTGGATCTACCTTCTTGGTCTGTGTCCAGATTGAGAATTTTGAAACTCAGGATGGTATGGTAAACCTTTAGGTAGCAGCTGGGAGGGGAAAGACTTGGATTAATGGAACTTTTTTCAAATCCTAAAGCATTTTGTTTTCATTTTCAGGCTGTAACTGGCTTCCTGAGAAAAGAAGACAGGGTAAGTTGTTTTCTATTTACTGTTAAAATGCAATGTTTGGTCATAAAGGATGTTAAGCATTTTCTCTGTAAGGTTGAAAACTAAGGGCTCTGATACACACCAGTCAGACCACTCTTGTACACTGCTGGTTGGTCACTTTCCCCCCTGTATCCTAGTACTTAAGGACTCAGATATGTGATTTTAGAGGAAAGTGCTTAAATTTCTTTGGACAGCTAAAGTGGTTAATTCACATGTTTTGACAGAGGCTAAGACAAGAAGGCAACTTTTCAGCTTATCACAAACATCAGAAAGAGGCAGTCATCTTTTGGCAACATTTTGCAAACAGAAAATGGAATGTTGCGACCGCTGGAAAGATTTAAGGAAGGAGAGATAGAGGCAAACATGGGAAGATGTCAAAGCTTTCTCATGGAATGGTAAGGTGTCAGCCCACCAATTGGAGATGGTAAGAGGAGATGCCAGTTAACATTTACTTACTGTTTACTGCTGAAATCTAAGATTGGTTTAGGTTTGCCTTGTAAAACTGTTTTGGTAATTAGCAGTTTTTTTACTCATTGATTTATTCATTATTTTTTAAATGTTAGTTTTACAACATGTTGGCTAATTAAATAACAAGCTCAATAAATGCCTCCAAAAAGTTCCACTATCCAAAAAGAATGGACCCCCTGACCTCCTCAACAAGCATGTCATAAATATTGACTAATCATTGATGTTTCCTCCAAAGTCAGAATGCATCTGCATGAGAGGTGAGGAACCAACAGTCTGCATACAGATAAACCAAATATGTAAAACAAATGTGCATGCCAAACTGAAGTTTTGTAATGAGACTAAAGTCCAAAATTGGATAAACAACCAGAACTTACACTAGAGTTTACAGCCGGTGAAAACTAAGAAGAAAAACCAGTTAACTTGCTAGAAAAGACATTCAGTTCAGTAACTGCTTGACCAAATTGACATGAAAGCAATAGAAAACAACTTCAGAGATAAATAGTTCAGCAAAAAAGCCTAGACACAAAAGAAGCAAAGTTCTCCAGACACCAGACAGCTATTCCAACAGTTGGGTCAAATGGAAATGGTTTTACCATACTATAGAAAATGTTTGCTGCAGAATTCAGTCAACCCTGAACAAACCTCTTAAGGGCTTTGTATTAGTTGGTTGGTAGTGAGGGCTTCTGCTCCATTTCGAGTTGCTAGGCAAAAGAGGATGATACCTGAACTATATTACAATGCAGCTAATCGTTAATAACGACATTACAAAATTGCTTGTGAACATTTGCTTTGTGTCATATTTATCATCATTGTCTGTTTAGAGTTTTAGTGAGAACATTCCTCTTGGTGTCATCCCCCTTGGCAGCTCAAATCTCATCTTCAGAATTTTGTTCGGACTGGATTTGAAGGAAGTTCGGTAAGTAACCAGATTTCAATAAGATAAGAATCTCTTCATCCAGGTTGTGTCTATCATTTTTTTTTCTTCCTTTGGCTAAATGGCATAGCAGACTTGTGCCCAAACTGTAACATAGTTTGCCTTATAAAAGTATATAATGTAAGTGATGTGAGTGAACAGGTTGATTTTAAAATCTTGTTAAGTTACAGAAAAGACAAGTATGGAAATGTATTATCTAGGCACAGGGAAAACATCCAACGGAAGGTGTATTACAGAGAGAAAGAATAGAATAGCCAGGACAAAATTGCATTCTGTAAAATGAAGCACAAAGTATGCAATAAACCCATGTCACTGGAGATTAGCAACAAGAATGTCTTGTATGCTGTAAATAACCATTTGAACATACGGCTGTGAATCCTGGAAAGTTAACATATCAAGCCAAACAGTTAACACGAGACATCACAGACATGGTTTTATGGAAGAACCCTTAGAATTCCTTGGACAGCCAAAAAGAGAAACCCAGATGTTTTAAAAATAGCTAGAACTAGAAAACAGTATCACTAACATCAGAAAGAGACAATCATAATTTGTTTGTCATGTTATGAGAAGAAGGAAACTAGAATATGTTGTGGCCACTGCAAAGATCTGGGGATCTAAGAGTCAGAGAAAGACAATGCGAGAAGATGACAGCTTTTAGTCATAGCATGGAAGAGTGTCAACACGTGAAGTCATATACACTGTTGAAGATCTCCTATTGTGTATAGCCCCACGCCATCAGAAAGCACTTGATGATGATAAATACATAAATAGGAATGGGGGCAAAGATTTGTGAAATGATGAGATGCATTGAAAGTTTTTTTAAAGAAGAATTTTGAGAATACAAGAATGAAATTTATAATTTATGTACCATATGAACAGAAAGTAAGGGAACTTAAATTTCATAGAACTAGGATTTTATTGTGTATATATAAACACATCAGCATTCCTACCAAAGTCTTTATCATTGAGGGGAAAAAACCAAGAATATTATAAAATTTAAATGTTGCAGTTACAGATAAGGAAATTTCCAGTTTGAATGGAATGAAGTCAGCAGGAAATAATAAGATAAGATAATAAATTCAGTAAAGATAGCAAGAGTGGAAAAGAGGAGAAACAGAGACAAATTAAATGTGTATGCCATATAAACAGGAGAGAAACAAACCCAAAATGTAACTGAAATTTAGAAAGAATTATGTATGGGTCATTGGTTTTGAGTGACAATTCCAACTTCACAGCAATCGGGTCACTCTTTTAAAACACCCTTGTGCCAGCTAAAGCCACGCTAAGTGCTTTTCATTTTACCATGTGAAAAATTAGATAGAATTGCAGACAAAGCCAGCAGCATACATGCAGGAAATGCATAAGGCAGTCATCGAATTCGCTAACACTAACAGTCTGCCGCTTGAACTGCAGTTTGTTGTTGATGGAGTCAGTAGAAATGACAAACAGGCAGTTGCAGACATATTACTGTCAACTGGCCACCTTCAGTTTTCTGAATATGCTGTGTTCGCAACACAATCCACTTTGGGCGAAGACATAATGTGTTTCTGATTGAAATCCAAAGCTAGGTATCTCACTGCACTCAGCTCAACTGGGCAGTGGAACCATGTACTTTGAGTCCATACATGAGGACAGTGCATCAACAAAGCATGTTCAGAAGCAGATAATATCCGAGTGCTTTAACAGATGGCTCACCCATCTGCAGTACCAGACTGAAAGTTGTTGCTGGTAAAATACAAAAATAAAGTCCTTTTGCGTTCATGTTTTAATGTGTAAATGCATACAGATGAAAACATGATGGAAATGTATGTATGTACTACAAAATCTGGATTAGCCATTTAAGAAAGAACTTAATCAGCAGAAGATTAACTTAACTGTATTTTTGTGTATTCTTAGAGCATTAGCAGAATCTGCCATTGCTGTAGTCAGGGCTGTAACACAGAAAGTTGATGTCATTAAGCTGGACGTAAGTTTCTTTCATTATTGTGGTCTCCACTGTTTACTTTTGGATTATTTACTGTGATCTGGGTTATGATTAAAACATTTACTTATGTTAATGAATAATAATTTCATGTGTAAAGGAGAGTTCTGGTTTACCATGTTGCCAAGACATACATTAAATGGGTATATTTTGAGGACATTACTGACATTGTTTTCACTCTCTCTGTTTGCTTCCCTACCTCTAACTGTCTCTCTCCCTCCCTTGTCTCTCTCCCCTCTCGGTCTTCCTCCCTCTCTCTTTCTCTCTCTATCTTCCTCCCTTTCTCTGTTCCTACCTCCATCTCTCTGTGAAGTGTGGTGGATCTTCTTCAACTGTTCTCCTACTTAACCCATATAGTGAATTCATAACTGTTGGAGATGGCTGTAGCAGATATGACCAAAGCTAATATGGATTATGTTTACTGACTGACACTGAGAGATGTTGGTTTATAAGAAGCTTCTTCATCCAAAAGGCCATGCTGTCATCTCTGTGTTCTTGTTTGGACACTCCCTTATTTGTCACTTGAGAGGATCAATGCTATATGGTTGAGGTGAATTTCAGTGATGTATTTCCTACTAGTTGCAGTGCACATGTTACCAGCCTTGTTTCTCAGTTTTGTGGCTAATCTTTCACTGTTTTCTTCTGTCTTTCTGACCCCATTGGAGCACAGGCCCTAAACCAACTCACACAGAGTCTTTTTATCCTTTGCTGTCACATGCAGCTCTTCCCATGTCCTCTCCATCTTTTTAACTTTACACTCTGGCTCCCTTCTCTATGTTTTTTGTGTCTTTCTTTATTCCTTTGCCCCTGTGGTTTCCAGTGCAAAGACATTATAGTTATATTATTCCCTGATTTTCTCAATCTGTGTCCTATCCAACGTCAGGGTCTTTTCTTCACCTCTTAGTCCACTGGAATGTGCTTAGTTCTCTGCCAGAGATCTACATGAGTGATTCTATCATAGCATTTCATTCTCTCTATTCTGCACAATCAGCTGCTGCCTCCTCAGTGAAGGCTTGGCTGTAATGGATCTCAAGCATGCTCTGTTTCTTGTCCTGGTTGTACACTGTCTGACTGCTGCCCGTCCATCTCTTGATGTTGTCCTTCCACTTGTATCGTTACCTACCTCTTGCTCTCTTGCCTTTGACCTTTCCCTCCCGTATCATTTTTAAAAGTGATTATGTCTTTTAATGATGCTAAAGTATTTCAACTGTCTCTCTTTTTTTTTTTTCAGTAATTCTCTTTTCATTTATAGCCTTTTCAGAACCTCTGTATTGGACTGTTTTTAATTCCATGAAATACAACCTATTCTTCTGTATACTCACATCTCCAGAGACTCAATTCAATTTTCCAGTTGTTTGTTCATTGTCCACGTTTCTGCACCATATAGCAGGACATAACATTTGACGATTCTCATTTTAGTATGTTGTTTATCTCTCTAGCTGCCAATCACTTGTGCCATCTTATTGAAGACAGTTTTAGCCATTCCTATACTCTTTTTGACTCCGTTTCACTTTTTCCATCATCTGGTACTACATGTCCTAGATAGGAAAAACTTGTTACTTATTCTAACAGCTCTCTGTTTACTGTGGTGTTTACTGTTGGCCACTCTTTTCCCTTGTTAATTACTGTAGTTTTTGTTTTTTCGAATATTAATATTAAAACCAAACTGCACTGCACCTGTTGACTTGATCAGCTAGTTCTTGTAACTTGCTTTCTGCTAGCAGCACTGTGTCATCTGTGTATCTCGGATTGTTTATTGTTCTCCCATTAATATTCTGTCCAGGCAGTTCCTCAACCTGTTAAAAATGTTTTCTGTATATATGTTGAAAAGGCGAGGGGATCACACACATCCCTGACATATTCCTTTTATCTCTATCTATGGTGAAGTGGTGATGTGGGTCTAACCGTTGCTATTTGTCCCTAGTGTAGGTTACAAATCTGTACTATCTGTCTAATCCTATATTTTGAAGGCATGCAATTAGCTTTACATGTTGCACACTGTCAAAAGCCTTCTTGTAATCTATGAAACATGTGTAAATACTTTTCTTGACTTCTGTATATTTTTCAGTCAGCATCTTTAAACTATTTATTGCTTCCCTTGTGCCACTGTTTTTCCTAAATCCAAACTATTCTTCAGAAACTTCATTATTTATTTTACTTTGAATTTTTTCTTGAATGATCTGGAGAAGTATTTTAGTTTTATGGCTCATCAAACTAATTGTTCTTTAATCTTCACACTCAATGGCTTTTGACTTTTTGGGCAGTGTGATGAAAATAGACGTTTTCAGATCCTTTGGAATGTAGCCAGTATATTATAAATATCATGACACATTTCATTGAAGCTGTCACCTCCAAAGCTGGATATTGATTTTATCATTTCCATTTTTATTTTGTCAGGACCTGCGGCTTTTCCATGCTTCGTATTTTTAATAACCTTCTCCACTTCAGCTTTTCAAATGTTTGGTCCATCGTGAAGATTAAACAGTTCTGGTTTGCTGCCCCTGTTATCCCAAAATAGGCCCTCTGTGTATTCAGTCCACCTTCTGATGATATCATTTTTATCAACTAAAACTACTCCATTTTTTCCTCTGATGCACCCATTGCCTGTTAAATTTTGTCTCCTTTTTTGTGATCTTTTTTATGTTTTCATGCACTTCTTTTGTGTTTTGTTTACTTTCCATTTCCTCAATTTCTTTACATTTCTCCAGAGTGTCTCTTGTCATATGTATTTTTCACTTCCACCAGATACTGCTGACTTAAATTTGATTGCTTCAATGCTGATGTCTCTCTGAGATTCCCTTGATGCTCTTTGACCATACTCCATAGTGACCCATTAATTTCCAGAGGGATTCCCCTATCAGTGCTGTCAAAAGCTTTTTCAGTCTATGAATCCAATGTAAAGTGGTGAATTCAATTCAATGCTTTGTTATATTATTATGTGTAATGTGGCTATCTGGTCATTACAGGATCTGTTTGGCCGAAAACCTGTCTGTTCATGTCTTTTATTTTTATCAATAGTATCTTGTAGTCTTTCTGATATAAGCCTACTTAATATTTGTCCAGGAACTGACACCAGCATAATTCCTCTATAGTTTTCACACTCCTTTAGATCACATTTTTGGGTAGTTTCACAATGTATCCATCTCACCAGTCTACTGGTATTTCTCAGCTTTACTTGATGTGTTTATATTGGCCTTCTGCTGGGATACCATCTGAACCTGCCGCTTTTCCTTCTTTCAGAAGTTTGACAGATTTTCTAATTTCCTTTTTAGATAGTATCTCAGGTTGATATCCAGTTCCATTTCTAGAGGCTGGATATCTGGAGGAACCTATGGGACTGGTCTATTTAAAAGTATTTCAAAATATTCAGCCCATCCGTCCATTTGATCTTTGGTGTTCTTGAGTACCTTTCCTTGACTGTTTTTGATTGATCCAGTTGTCTGAGTATATATATATATATATATATATATATATATATATATATATATATATATATATATATATATATATATATATATATATATATATATATATATATATATATATATATATATATATATATATATATATATATATATATAAGCTTTCACTGTGACCATGTCATATCCTTCATTCTTTGGTTTTACTACCATTGACCAGTTCGATGATAAGTGCAGTGTCAGGTCAGATTGTGTCTGCGCAGCTTCTGGGACATTGGGCATGACCCTAATTCCGTCTTAGGTAACATACTGGCCTCCACTCAGGGGCCAGTGTATATTCCACTCACTGGTAGGTGCTGCACCTTTACATTGGGGATAGAGGACATAGATTGTTTCCATCTCAGATATAGTTTCAGGTGCTCAGACCTAACTGTAGTAAACTCTAAAGACAGGGTCATGGCAGAAAGATATTATAAAGATATTTGTACTAAAAATTCCGGATACATCACACCTGGAATGAAGAAGGCTATTTTCTTGTGTGTCCAGATCTATTCTTGGCATTCACTGGCTGTAAACTCTGGCAGAAGGTTTTAGCTGTTTATTTTCAAGCTGTGGTCTTTCCAATTCCAATTCGTCCAACAAAAATTTCAAATTTGATCCTCTTTCAACCGCCCGGAGGCCTGCTATATCGAAGAAGGGTCCTTAGCTGTCTAATATGGTTTCCTTTTATTTGTGGTGTGTGGTCACACCTGATATTAGGGTTGTTTGCTTCCTTGCTGTGCCGTGGTCATTGTGGTTTTTAGTTCTGGTGTGGTCCAGATCTCTTTGTGATGGTATCTACGGGTATTAGCTGACTGCTGTGGTCTTATCCAGAACATGAGTTTTATGTGCATATCTGTTTTACAGATCTTTATTTGTTTGCAGACTGTTGGTTCCTCACCTCTCAGGCAGTTGCATTCCAACTTCTATTGAAACTTGCCTGATTAGTTGCCTTGCATGATGTGCTTGTTAGAGAGGCACACAGAGGTCCAGATCTGTTTAAATAGATGGGTCATTGAGACCCGACAATGACCAAGCCTAGACCCCTATAACAGACCAGTCACTAGGCTTTAGTGATCAACAGTTATTTCCTTTTATGCATAATAATGTAGCACATAAATGTGACATTGGTGTTTCTTATTGACAGGGAGGTGAAAGTAAAACCATTTATGCCATGACTGGGTTGGAAGCTGGAGCTTACAGGGATGCAGAAGAAAGGAAAACAAAGTAAGATTCTACTCCTCTCTTTCTTAATTATTGATGGGCTGGTCCCTTGTTTTCTGTAACTACAATTATTCTGATACATTACCATTGTGTGTTATTTATAATTTCCACCATTGCTTTTTTCAATCATCATCAATTTAAGACAATTGCTAATCACAGGTACTGGTATTTTGGCCCACTGAAGTCTCGCTGGACATACCTACGTACAGCCATGAAAGAGTGGCCTCCAGTATTCAAGGCAACAATCTCATACATTGAGGCAACAGAAGAAAACATGAGCAGCAGTGACAGTTCTGAAGCCTTGAAATCAAATAAATATAGCCTGGGTTGGAGTTTTGTCAGTCTTCTGTTTGGAAAGAAACAGAATGAGATCAAAGGTGAGTGCAGTCTAGCCAGACATTTACATCAGTGTCAGAGTGAAGATGTGATCTGTGTTTACTAAGTATATATATATATATATCTTTAGAAATAAAAGCTTTTGGTGAACGTTAGATAAGTATAGACAAAATTGTTGAATGATATTTATAAAAGTTGACATATTGCATATCTAATAAATGTAGCATGGGTTGGAGTTTTGTGATTTTTCTCTTTAGGAGGAAACAGAATGAGATCAAAGGTGTGTGTCCAAAAAAGCCAGACACATAAATCAGTGTCAGAGTAACAATGTAATTTGACTTGTTTCATACTTCTTAGTATTAAGACAGTGTCTAGCATTACTAGTTAATGTAAAACTATAACTGTAGAGACCAGTTACCCTTGTCACTGTCACAGTGTGTGCTGGCTACCCTTGTCACTGTCGCAGTGTGTGCTGGCTACCCTTGTCACTGTCGCAGTGTGTGCTGGCTACCCTTGTCACTGTCGCAGTGTGTGCTGACTACCCTTGTCACTGTCGCAGTGTGTGCTGACTACCCTTGTCACTGTTGCAGTGTGTGCTGGCTACCCTTGTCACTGTCGCAGTGTGTGCTGACTACCCTTGTCACTGTCGCAGTGTGTGCTGACTACACTTGTCACTGTCGCAGTGTGTGCTGACTAGCTCTTTTGTATTTTAAAATAATTTAGGAGGCAATATGACAATAACAGCAGACCAGACAGAGAGTTGTGAATACTATGAAGGACCACTGGTATTGAAAGCAGAAGTAGAAGATCTAACTATACATCACATGAAGAAATATAAATCTCCAGGACTATGTAACATCACTATTGTAACATTAAAAGTTTTTGGTGAACTGCATAGAGAAGTGTTGACACCTATTATTGAATGATATTTATAAAAATTGACATAAAGCTGATGACCTTTTGAAAACTCTTTTCATACCTTTACCAAAAACAGATGGTGCAGTGGATTGTGAAGAACATCAGAAATTTAGTTGAATAAGTCTTATAACAAAAATATAAATGAGAATTATTATGAGAAGAATATAATGCAAATTTAAACTAGAAATTGGAGAGGAGCAGTATGGTTTTGTGGAAGGCAACACACACAACGCTATATTTAACTTGGGAAGACTTGCAGCAAAAATGATTGAAATGAGCAGGGATATTTAACTGTGCTTTCTTTATTACTCTAAAGCATTTAATAAAGTGAAACCTGAAATTATTAGAATGTTGGAAACATTGATGATAAAGATCCGAGAATAATAAAAAACATACTGGCACCAAGAACCACCCATAATAAGTGACAACCAAGTGGGAGCTGTTAAAAACATTAAATAGGGCAATATAGGGATGTGTGCTATAACTCAATTTATTCACTTTGAACAGGGAAGTAATAGGGAGATCCATGATATACCAGGAATAATGATTGGTGGGCATATTGTGAACAATCTGTGATATGCTGACGATAAAGTTTTGATTGCTGAAAATGAAAAATAATTGCAGGAAATGATGGACTCAGTTGTAACAGAAAGTCTAAACAAGGGTCTTAGTTTGAACAGCAGAAAAATAGAATTAATGGTATTTTTAAAAAAAAATGGCCCTCCAGAATGCAACATCTAAGTGAATACGACAAACCTCAGGCAAGTTGAAATGTTTAGGTACTTGGGTACCGTGATATCAGATGGAAGATGTGATAAAGAAGTTAAATGTCGAATAGCTCAAGCAAAGTCATTATTTCACAAAATGAAGAATATTTTATGCTGTCTTTCCATAGGTGAGAAAAATTATTATAGAGAGCTGTAATACCCTGATATACTGTAAGAGAATCATGGACAGATAGTCAGTTAGTGAAAAATTATGTAGAAGCAGCAAAGATGTGGTTTTATAAATGAATGATGAGAACTCATAAATAGATGAAAAAAATGTAATTAAGATTTCTTGAAAGAAATTGGTTAATGAAGAGAACTCATTACCCACATCAGAAGGAGAAAACTGGGGTACTTTGTGATGGTGGGAAAGTTGAAGGAGAAAAGAGGCAGAGAGAGACCGAGAGAGAAGATGCTCGACATGGAAGACCATCTTTGTCAGAACTGATTAAAAGTACACGAGACAGAAGTTTTTGGATAGATGTGACCACAAACGCCATACAGTGTTGAAGAAGAAAGGTTCTTTGTCAGTTCAAGACCTGATTCTGGTCTTGCAACCCCAGCAGAGGAAAGTTCATGCCTTATTGTCAGGCATTTAGAATTGTGTAGAAGAAAACATTTGGTTCATCGTCAGGCATTTAGAATTGTGTAGAAGAAAACATTTGGTTCATCGTCAGGCATTTGGAAATGTGTAGATGAAAACATTTGGTTAATTGTTAGGCATTTAGAAATGTGTAGATGAAAACATTTGGTTCATTGTTAGACATTTAGAAATGTGTTGAAGAAAACATTTGGTTCATTGTTGGACATTTAGAATTGTGTAGAAGAAAACATTGGTTTATTGTTAGACATTTAGAATTGTGTAGAAGAAAACATTCGGTTCATTGTTAGACATTTAGAATTGTGTAGAAGAAAACATTTGGTTCATTGTTAGACATTTAGAATTGTGTAGAAGAAAACATAGGGTTCATTGTTAGACATTTAGAAAAGTGTAGAAGAAAACATAGGGTTCATTGTTGGACATTTAGAAATGTGTAGAAGAAAACATTCGGTTCATTGTTAGGCATTTAGAATTGTGTAGAAGAAAACATTTGGTTCATTGTTAGACATTTAGAATTGTGTAGAAGAAAACATAGGGTTCATTGTTAGACATTTAGAAATGTGTAGAAGAAAACATTCGGTTCATTGTTAGGCATTTAGAATTGTGTAGAAGAAAACATAGGGTTCATTGTTGGACATTTAGAATTGTGTAGAAGAAAACATTTGGTTCATTGTCAGGCATTTAGAAATGTGTAGAAGAAAACATTTGGTTCATTGTTAGACATTTAGAAATGTGTTGAAGAAAATATTTGGTTCATTGTTAGACATTTAGAAATGTGTAGAAGAAAACATTTGGTTAATTGTTAGGAATTTAAAAATTGTGTTAAAGAAAACATTTGGTTAATTGTTAGGAATTTAAAATTGTATTGAAGAAAACATTTGGTTAATTGGTAGGCATTTAGAATTGTATTAAAGAAAACATTTGGTTTATTGTTAGACATTTAGAATTGTATCGAAGAAAAAATATTTGAAGTACGCCTAATTTGATAAACTAGTGTAAATTATCAGTATTTCTGCGACCTTTTTTTTTAAAAATGATTTCGCATTGTTGCTTCACAGATGCTGATAGGAAAGCAAAACAGTTAGCACAAGATCAAGAAGATGAGAAAAACAGAATCACCAAAGACATTTCCACAGTGGAACTGACAGTAACAACCACCAGTCTAGCAAGCAATACATCAGTAAGCATTCACATTAATGTTTTGAGGTGTATAGTAGCAACACTGCCACATCAGTAATTTTCTATTTACCAGAGTTATTTGTCCCCGACAGTCAGACATATTAAACAATGTTTTTGAAAATTACACACATTGACCATGTTAGTTAGTTAGTTAGTTGGGTTATCATCATTGCACTCCGGACATGTCCATAGGTGCTCAGATCCTCCCCTCAGTATGAACCCCAACGTCCGATGGCTAATAGTACTAGTTCTATGTTGATTAACAAGTCTTCTGTTGTGTCTGGTGTGCGTCTCATTTTTTGCTGTGCCGATCTTAATTCCCAAGTCTGCCATTCTGGCGAGTGATGTGGATTCACTGCCACCAAAGTCCTCTATCCTTCCCATTTCTCTGAGGGCATTGATAATATCAGCATGATCCATAGGCCGACCGTCGGTAGTGATAGCGGATCCAGCCAACCTGTCAGCTCTTTCATTTCCATCGACGCCTGCGTTTCCTGGAACAAAAATAAAGGTGACTCCTCGCACAGTGGACTTCTGAATTGATTCAAGCCATTGTCTTCGCACTGAACCTGCCTGAACCCTCTGGATCATACTCATTGAATCACTGAGTATACATATGCGGGTGTATTTTTGTGTTTCAAGCCAGGCAAACGCTTGCGTCACTGCCATCACCTCCATCGTCATGCTGCTGGTTGTCATGGAGAAGGCGCCGTTGGCTTCTTTGACTGTTCTGCCCGCTGAGCGTGCTGTAAATGCCCATGCGCTTTTTCTTTGGAGTATAACGGATCCGTCTGTATAGATTAGTGCATCTGCTTCATCTGAATTTTCACCGATGAGAGCGTTGACCTCTGCATTAACAGCAACAGGATTCTCTTCTCTACATCGCCTGTTGAGTGTGACAATACAGGAAAATGTACAAATAAACGCCTGAGGCACCAGGTATGATGTCGGTTAGGTTGCATATTTGCCTAATAACATCTTCTGCCTGACCTAGCCACGATTTTCCCCTCTTTAGTCTGTCGCCCTTTTCACTAAAAAGCGCTTGATGCAGTGGGTGTTTCTTATCAGCACATATTTTGAGGTATGCCCGAGCCCTCCACATCCTGATCCTTTGGTTCATTGTTGGAAAGTCAAGTAGATACCTCATTGCTCCACAGGATGTGTCTCTTGTACATCCCAAAATAATACGCATGGCTTCATTTTGCACCTTTTCGATCTGGGTAGCACTGACAGTGAGGATGGCCAGAGCGTATTCAATGGGGGAAAGGACCAGACCGTAGAATAGAAGTACTAGTAGTCTTTGCTCGATATTGGAAGCAGCCATAATCCTCATTGCAGATAAACCTTTGCGTGCTTTTGTTATCACATGGTTAACGTGTTCCCTGAATGACAAGCTGCGATCGAACCTCACCCCGAGAAACGTCATAACGTTGGTTCTGATCAATACATTATCACGCATTTTCACTTCTGGTAAGTCCGACTTGACGATGTGATTGTTCAAAGAGAACCATGACACTGATGCCTTCGAAGGTTAATGTTAATAAACAACAATGACCATCTTGAATGACAATCACATCTGCTGACTGCATCGAGTGATAGTCAGTCAGACACATGAACTACCTTGAATGACAACCAAGAATGTTTACCTCTTTGAATGTGACAAATGAAGTAGCTGACATGTGAATTGCACACTTCTTTTTCTTCTTCCTTTCTCTTTTACCACTTTCTTGCTCGTCTGATGTTATCTTTTCATCTTGTTCTTAGTCTACCTCTTTTTATAAGTCACTCTCCTCTTTTTTTTTTGTATGCCTTTTATGAGATTGGATCCAATTGTAATAGAAAGTCAGACAGATGGTCTTAAGCTGTAAGAGGGGAGCAAGCTGTGCCAATACTTGGTTTGCTTCATTGCAGTGGATGTTTATTTATTCATTAAATTCGCCACCCTCAGTGAACTGAACACTAGAACTAGCATTATTCATATTGGCATCACAAGTGACACCACTTAGATCAATATAAGATTCACTTCCGATCAAAATGAATGCTAGGCAGGGGTTCTGTTTGGAGCCGAGGCAAATTTTGTGCTTCTGCCGGACGGTGGCCGATGCATTTTTGCTCCATTTTGCAGACTGGATATAGTTTCGTCGCCCAGCTTCTGAGTTGAATGCATGGCATGACAGGGTGAGTAGCGGATTTCATTTGGAATGTTTTTTCGACTGTAACCAACCGGGTGGTGTAAATTGTAGATTCAGAAAATGGCACGATGCCTGTTGTCGCAACGTTGTTGGTACCCGTATGTGATTGAAATTGATCGCGTGGGCAACTGCTGATCTGTTGGTGACTTCTGCTACCATCAATGATGAACTGCATTTCTAATGTCAGACTGTTTTTTTTTAGCACTTAGGGTGGCTACCTTATACTTTAATGCGTGTGTATGCTAGAAATGCTGAGACAGCAGTCTGTCAATCTTTCCACAAGGGACTGTGATAAACATTCTGTGTGTTTTTCGTTGGCACAGGAGCGGATCAAAGATGGGGTGACCTGTTTGCTATGAAGCTGAAACTAAGATTACCAGACCAGAATATAAGATTCAGTGTTAAATTTATTACATACTGATAAACTGATAACTCAGCGTATGTTGTTATACACAAACACTAATAAACTGGTAACTCTGAACATAGATTGTTACACAAATAATGCTGCAAGCATAGGTTGTTGTACCTATACTGATAAACTGGTAACTCTGAACATAGATTGTTACACAAATAATGCACAAATAATGCTGCAAGCATAGGTTGTTGTACCTATACTGATAAACTGGTAACTCTGAGCATAGATTGTTACACACATATGGATAAACTTATAACTCTGAGCATAGATTGTCACACACATATGTATAAACTTATAGCTCTGAGCATAGATTGTCACACACATATGGATAAACTTATAGCTATGAGCATAGATTGTTACACACATATGGATAAACTTATAGCTCTGAGCATAGATTGTTACACACATATGGATAAACTTGTAGCTCTGAGCATAGATTGTCACACACATATGGATAAACTTATAGCTCTGAGCATAGATTGTCACACACATATGGATAAACTTATAGCTCTGAGCATAGATTTTTACACACATATGGATAAACTTATAGCTCTGAGCATATATTGTTGCACACAAACTGATAAACTGATAACTCTCATCATGGGTTGTAATACACATACCAACAAACGAATACCTCAGGGTCAAAGGGTTAGGGAAAACAAGAATCTACAGGCATGTTCGCTGGTCTGCTGACATAATTGAGAAACAGCCTGCAAAGTTTCTGCTGTGCTCTAGCCTACTGTTCTGTGTAATATTGTCAGTCAGTGGTAACTTGTGGGCATGGGTTTCTGTCAGCAAGTTTTGTCTGTTAGAAATGTCTGCTGGTTCAGGTTGTCTTCTGTCACTCTTAAGTTTCTGCAGCAGTTCTGTTTGTAGAGGTAACTGTTTGTTGATTTGTTGAACAATTTCAGACACAGTACCAGTTGTGACAATGAAGGGTTCCAGGGGGACAGCTGTGTTGTCTGACTCAGGATGGATACTGTTTTTTATTTGACATATTTTCACCAATATTGTCCTCACACATCTGTAACATATTTGTAGGCAGCATCTTCTCTAAGTTCACATATTAGTTTGTAAGTATGATCTATAAATTGTGTCTTTTGACAGCCTGTGAAAGCTCTTCAAGTAAGTCTGGGACCCAGTGAGCCTACAAAGACACAGTTGATAAATGAAGGGTAAGTATTAGAGCATTTTACTACTGACGCTCTGCATGTTGTGAGCTGTGGTAGACATTGGCTAGATCTTGCCTGCCAGCCTGAAGGTATGGAGTTTGAAACTCTGTCACTGCAAATTTTTGTATAATTGGCCTGGGCCATTTTGGTCATCCCCAGGCTATCATTTCCTGGAAAGAAAAGATGGCTGACATGATATTGACCACATCTCCCATGAAGTGCCAGTTGTCTGTAAACATGTGCGTCCAGCACCACATGCCAGATGTGAACCTGGTATTTAAAAAAGCACGTCTCTTACTGACTTTAATTCAGCATTTCAAATGTTAAAAATCAGCTGATAAATGTCAACTTTCTGTTATCAGTGTCAGACATCAGTCCTAGAAAAACATCACTTCAAAATTACATGTGTGTAAAGATGTATAAGAACTGTAGTCACTAATGAAGAACTACGAAAAAAATATAGGCACAGTATCAGTAAATGATTTCATAGGACATCAAAGAATCATTATTTGGTTGTCTGGTCAGAGTGGAACCACATCAGCCATCAACCAGAGGGTACTTCATGAGAACAGCAAGCTACAAGGCAAGAGCCGACCACAGAAAGAGATGGGTGGAAGGAGTAGAAGAGATATTATAGAAATTCAATATGGAAAGACCGAAAACTACATCTAACTCCTCTCTGCTACGCTGTCTGGCATAAGCAGTAGTTGAGAAGAAGAGATGATTCCATGTTTGATGATTACTGTTTGTATCACAGCTGAGACCGACTATCTTCTCACTTATAGATCAACGTGCGCATTGTTCCTGTGAGATCATTATCCATCTTGTTTGGATTAATATCTCCAGAAAGCAATAGCAAACTACTGGATGTAAATTGCCTAGAGAAACCACACAACAGCCAGGGGCTGTTAGGGTTGGTTCTGCAACGTCCTGTAAAGGATACGCAACTAACTTTAACTTAGATTAATATCAGTGCTGTTACTGGGTAATCAATAACCATGCGGTTACTGAGAGATCAGTTTCCATGCAGTTACTGAGAGATCAGTTTCCATGCAGTTACTGAGAGATCAATATCCATGCAGTTACTGAGAGATCAGTTTCCATGCAGTTACTGAGAGATCAGTTTCCATGCAGTTACTGAGAGATCAGTTTCCATGCAGTTACTGAGAGATCAGTTTCCATGCAGTTACTGAGAGATCAGTTTCCATGCAGTTACTGAGAGATCAGTTTCCATGCAGTTACTGAGAGATCAGTTTCCATGCAGTTACTGAGAAATCACTATCCATGCAGTTACTGAGAGATCAGTTTCCATGCAGTTACTGAAAGATCAGTTTCCATGCAGTTACTGAGAGATCAGTATCCATGCTGTTACTGAGAGATCAGTTTCCATGCAGTTACTGAGAGATCAGTTTCCATACTGTTACTGAGAGATCAGTTTCCATGCTGTTACTGAGAGATCAGTTTCCATGCAGTTACTGAGAGATCAGTTTCCATGCAGTTACTGAGAGATCAGTTTCCATGCAGTTACTGAGAGATCAGTTTCCATGCAGTTACTGAGAGATCAGTATCCATGCTGTTACTGAGAGATCAACATCCTTCTTACTGAGAGATCAGTATCCTTGTTGTTACTGAGAGATCAGTATTCATGCAATTACTGAGAGATCAGTTTCCATGCAATTACTGAGAGATCAGTTTCCATGCAATTACAGAGAGATCAGTTTCCATGCAATTACTGAGAGATCAGTTTCCATGCAATTACTGAGAGATCAGTATCCATGCTGTTACTGAGAGATCAGTTTCCATGCAGTTACTGAGAGATCAGTTTCCATACTGTTACTGAGAGATCAGTTTCCATGCTGTTACTGAGAGATCAGTTTCCATGCAGTTACTGAGAGATCAGTATCCTGGTTGTTACTGAGAGATCAGTTTCCATGCAGTTACTGAGAGATCAGTATCCATGCTGTTACTGAGAGATCAACATCCTTCTTACTGAGAGATCAGTATCCTTGTTGTTACTGAGAGATCAGTATTCATGCAATTACTGAGAGATCAGTTTCCATGCAGTTACTGAGAGATCAGTTTCCATGCAATTACTGAGAGATCAGTTTCCATGCAATTACAGAGAGATCAGTTTCCATGCAATTACTGAGAGATCAGTTTCCATGCAATTACTGAGAGATCAGTATCCTTGTTGTTACTGAGAGATCAGTTTCCATGCAATTACTGAGAGATCAGTTTCCATGCAATTACTGAGAGATCAGTATCCTTGTTGTTACTGAGAGATCAGTTTCCATGCAATTACTGAGAGATCAGTTTCCATGCAATTACTGAGAGATCAGTTTCCATGCAATTACTGAGAGATCAGTTTCCCTGCAATTACTGAGAGATCAGTATCCATGCTGTTACTGAGAGATCAACATCCTTCTTACTGAGAGATCAGTATCCTTGTTGTTACTGAGAGATAAGTTTCCATGCTGTTACTAAGTGATCAGTATTCATGCTGTTACCGAGAGATCGGTATCCATGCTGTTACTGAGAGATCAGTATCCATGCTGTTACTAAGAGATCAGTATCCATGCTGTAAGTAAGAGATCAGTATTCATGCTGTAACTGAGAGATTGGTATCCATGCTGTTACTGAGAGATCGGTATCCTTACTGTTACTGAGAGATCAGTATCCATCCTGTTACTGAGAGATCAGTATCCTGGTTGTTACTGAGAGATAGGTTTCCATGCTGTTACTGAGAGATCAGTATCCTTGCTGTTACTGAGAGATAGGTTTCCATGCTGTAACTGAGAAACAGGTTTCCATGCTGTTACTGAGAGATCGGTATCCTTGCTGTTACTGAGAGATAGGTTTCCATGCTGTTACTGAGCGATCGGTATCCTTGCTGTTACTGAGAGATTGGTATCAATGCTGTTACTGAGAGATCGGTATCCATGCTGTTACTAAGAGATCAGATCCATGCTGTTACTGAGAGATCAGTATCCTTGCTGTTATTGAGAGATCAGTATCCGTGCTGTTACTGAGAGATCACTATCCATGATATTACTGAGAGATCAGTATCCTTGCTGTTACTGAGAGATAGGTTTCCATGCTGTTACTGAGAGATCAGTATCCTTGCTGTTACTGAGAGATAGGTTTCCATGCTGTACTGAGAGATAGGTTTCCATGCTGTAACTGAGAGATAGGTTTCCATGCTGTTACTGAGAGATCGGTATCCTTGCTGTTACTGAGAGATCGGTATCCTTGCTGTTACTGAGAGATAGGTTTCCATGCTGTTACTGAGCGATCGGTATCCTTGCTGTTACTGAGAGATTGGTATCCTTGCTGTTACTGAGAGATTGGTATCCATGCTGTTACTGAGAGATCAGTATCCATGCCGTTACTGAGAGATTAGATTCATGCTGTTACTGAGAGATCAGTATCCATGCTGTTACTGAGAGATCAGTATTCTTGCTGTTCCTGAGAGATTGGTATCCATGCTGTTACTGAGAGATCGGTATCCATGCAGTTACTGAGAGATCAGTTTCCATGCAGTTACTGAAAGATCAGTTTCCATGCAGTTACTGAGAGATCAGTATCCATGCTGTTACTGAGAGATCAGTTTCCATGCAGTTACTGAGAGATCAGTTTCCATACTGTTACTGAGAGATCAGTTTCCATGCTGTTACTGAGAGATCAGTTTCCATGCAGTTACTGAGAGGTCAGTATCCTGGTTGTTACTGAGAGATCAGTTTCCATGCAGTTACTGAGAGATCAGTATCCATGCTGTTACTGAGAGATCAACATCCTTCTTACTGAGAGATCAGTATCCTTGTTGTTACTGAGAGATCAGTATTCATGCAATTACTGAGAGATCAGTTTCCATGCAATTACTGAGAGATCAGTTTCCATGCAATTACTGAGAGATCAGTTTCCATGCAATTACAGAGAGATCAGTTTCCATGCAATTACTGAGAGATCTGTCTCCATGCAATTACTGAGAGATCAGTATCCTTGTTGTTACTGAGAGATCAGTTTCCATGCAATTACTGAGAGATCAGTTTCCATGCAATTACTGAGAGATCAGTTTCCTTGTTGTTACTGAGAGATCAGTTTCCATGCAATTACTGAGAGATCAGTTTCCATGCAATTACTGAGAGATCAGTTTCCATGCAATTACTGAGAGATCAGTTTCCCTGCAATTACTGAGAGATCAGTATCCATGCTGTTACTGAGAGATCAACATCCTTCTTACTGAGAGATCAGTATCCTTGTTGTTACTGAGAGATAAGTTTCCATGCTGTTACTAAGTGATCAGTATTCATGCTGTTACCGAGAGATCGGTATCCATGCTGTTACTGAGAGATCAGTATCCATGCTGTTACTAAGAGATCAGTATCCATGCTGTAAATAAGAGATCAGTATTCATGCTGTAACTGAGAGATTGGTATCCATGCTGTTACTGAGAGATCGGTATCCTTACTGTTACTGAGAGATCAGTATCCATCCTGTTACTGAGAGATCAGTATCCTGGTTGTTACTGAGAGATAGGTTTCCATGCTGTTACTGAGAGATCAGTATCCTTGCTGTTACTGAGAGATAGGTTTCCATGCTGTAACTGAGAAACAGGTTTCCATGCTGTTACTGAGAGATCGGTATCCTTGCTGTTACTGAGAGATAGGTTTCCATGCTGTTACTGAGCGATCGGTATCCTTGCTGTTACTGAGAGATTGGTATCAATGCTGTTACTGAGAGATCGGTATCCATGCTGTTACTAAGAGATCAGATCCATGCTGTTACTGAGAGATCAGTATCCTTGCTGTTATTGAGAGATCAGTATCCGTGCTGTTACTGAGAGATCAGTATCCATGATATTACTGAGAGATCAGTATCCTTGCTGTTACTGAGAGATAGGTTTCCTTGCTGTTACTGAGAGATAGGTTTCCATGCTGTACTGAGAGATAGGTTTCCATGCTGTAACTGAGAGATAGGTTTCCATGCTGTTACTGAGAGATCGGTATCCTTGCTGTTACTGAGAGATCGGTATCCTTGCTGTTACTGAGAGATAGGTTTCCATGCTGTTACTGAGCGATCGGTATCCTTGCTGTTACTGAGAGATTGGTATCCTTGCTGTTACTGAGAGATTGGTATCCATGCTGTTACTGAGAGATCAGTATCCATGCCGTTACTGAGAGATTAGATTCATGCTGTTACTGAGAGATCAGTATCCATGCTGTTACTGAGAGATCAGTATTCTTGCTGTTCCTGAGAGATTGGTATCCATGCTGTTACTGAGAAATCGGTATCCATGCTGTTACTGAGAGATCAGTATCCATGCTGTTATTGAGAGATCAGTATCCATGCTGTTATTGAGAGATCAGTATCCATGCTGTTACTGAGAGATCAGTATCCATGCTGTTACTGAGAGATAAGTATCTGTGCTGTTACTGAGAGATCAGTATCCATACTGTTATCAATACAAAAAACTGCCGCACTTGTGCTTGCTGCCAATGGTGTAACTACCAGTCAAATCTTAGTTAGACTTTTTTAGAGCTGTATGCCATTATTTCACTGTCAATGATGTTTTTGATAGCACTTCATAAGATTTTTTAAAATCGGTCATTAAGCTATTTAGTAATATCTTCAACTTCACTTTTGGAAGAAAAGTCAAATCAAGAAAATCATTGTGCAGCAACAGAAAAATATAAATACGACCATCACACTCCATTCAAGAATTTGACGACATGATAAAAATGTTGACTGTGTGTCAGTGACATGGGAGCTCACCATAAAAATTCATTAAAAATTCACTCTAAATACTACAGAGTGGTTTCCCTCAAAGAAATATAGTGAAATGAATGGACTAAAGGCTTTAGCCAGATTCATCGCAAAAATCACGGTTTTAACACAACGGCGAAGTCCAAAGTTAAGATCACAAGGAGTGTGGTCATGGTATATGTCAGTGGATTGCACAAGGTGCGATTGTGGTAGCCAGTGGGTTAACTCTTTAAAACTTGTAATTATGATTGTATCAGTATTTAAACCTGCTTGCCACTTCTTCAGTGTAAATGTAACAGTGTGCATAATGGAAGTGTGTGTTTCATATCCGTCGCTTGAAATTGTTTTACAGATGGAGAAGAATTAAAAAGTCTGGCTTTGAAATGGGTTCAGCAGAAGATGAGAGATTAGTTGTCAAGAAAGTACACATTGAACCTAAAGAAGAGGTATATTCATTACTACTTCAGAAAGCTATACTGTGTGTTTTTGTAAGATGTTTTTGTAAGATTGGGAAACTCTTACTGAAGAGCTTAATGCAGGTTGTACTGTAAATGTGCTTGTGTCATATAACTCCTGATGTTGCAGTAAACTTTATCCTGTCACCTTCAATCACTTTCTCACTCTGTCGGATGCTTGTGATAAATTTGTCAGTGTTTTATTTGAGGGATTTTACAGTATATTGATGATGATCAGTGTTCCTTGTATAAGCTCCATTATTCTTATTGGAAGAAAAAAAAAAGGGGGGGGGGGGGGGGGGGGGTGGGGGGGTGTAATAAGAAATAAACCTACTTTCCCTTACCAAAAATGGCATATAGGGCAGCTAATAAAAAGTGTTGAAATCTGATGTGTTGTGCCAAAAGATGCAGATGTTGCAGCCTAGCTGTAAACTACGATTCAGCCACCCTTTAACTCTTTGAGTCCCAGGGGATTTAGCATCAGAGGCCCAAGAGGTTGTAGTGCAATGTTTTTTAATTTCATAAGTTTAAACATGTTAAAGCAGAGCATACTAATTCAACTGCCATGCAACATACACATATTATACATCAAAGTAACCAGGGATCGTTTGGGAATAATAATACTGCTACAACAAATAATTGGGTTAGTAATTAAATATTAGTAAATAAACAGACAATATGTTTACAGAAATTAGTAAGCTAAGTAAAGATCCCTTTTCACGCCTTTAGGCGCATCAGGCATATGGAAAGTGCACCCATATTTCTTACAGACCCATCGGCACTAGGTGGGTAATGTGATCATCATTACCCCGGCCGCCTTTACTTCCCCGGAACACACATTCTGGTACACATTTTAGTCTGGGTCAACCTGTGCCGCCCCATACCACGATAATCCACGCAGCCAGCAGTGCGTTTTGATCACACTACATTGAAATTACGAGTGGCACACACAACGGCTAAGCCACAGACACCGAAAAGAAATTAGTACAATCATATAATACTTTTTCCACTTGTCACCATGGGGCTCAAGAAAAACTCATTGAAATATATCCAGAATGTATCACAAATGAACATGAACCATTTAGTAACATTTATGTAAAATATAAACTCAATCTGTACATTAGATTTTGTTCCAGGGAATCTTTTGAAGCATCATAACAGAGCTTTATTATTTGGTAAAGAAAATGTGACTTCACAAAACAGTTTAGTATCTTCACACAAAACAAAGTTTAATATAACACTGAATTTGCATGTAATTTTGTAGCTATGTTCCTAGATGATGAGGGGAATAGCACTAGAACTGACACTGAAGAAAATCTCCTTTTCACTAATTTTTATTCTATTTGTACCAGCTGACTTTGCTGTCGTTCTACCCTTCCCATGAGGTACACATTAGCCATATCCCTAGTCAAAGCTTTACTCTGTAAATGACTGAAACAAGTCTACTTCCCAACGTTGTCCAGCCAACTTCAGAAAAACCTGTTAAACATGGGCTTTATTTAAATTTGAGGCTTCTAAAGGCGTAAATCATGTTGGCATGCATGTAGAACACTGCCCAGCGAGCCATATTGTTTTCAAACACTTAGTAACTTGGTAAACCTTGCAGATTTACTGTATTTTTAGCTTTTAAACCATGTTTCCAAATGAGCACGCCTGATATCAAACACAAAGAACTCAAAAGGAAGTTGAATATGAGTGGTTCCCTTTTTATTACTGGTCAGTGGTAAATAAAAAATCTTCACTTGTCACGAGCCGATTGGGCCACTGGGCTGTAACTAGTTAGCTGGGACTGAAAGAGTTCAAGCCAATGTAGAAGGAGAATAATGAAATTATGAATTGTAGCAGAAGATTTATTTCAGTGATTTTGTTCATTGTTTCACTAGACTATCATTGTCAGCACCTGCAACCTTCTCCTTTCAGGGTCAGTGGTATAACATTGATGGGGAATCATTTGAGGCCATGCCGGTGGAGATTTCACTGTTGCGGAACAAGCTGAATTTCTTTTGTCCACAAAACACCAACAGTGACAGATAACACCAGCTATGCTTTTATTAAAATTATAGCACATATGAATTATTTGCCTTTATTGTTCTTTTAACTTAGCATCATCTCTGCAGGTGTCCAAGGTTACTAGAATGTGATGTCGGTAAAGATATATTAAAATTTTCTGGTTATGTACAATTTTTGAGCAGTCAGAACTTGTTTTATTTAACTTGGTTGATCAGAAAAGATGGAGGGATGGCATTAAGAACTAACAGCCTTGCAGAAATGAAATAGTGCTCTTGACCGAGCTCATCAATGAACGTTACGTCTCCCCCCGACACTTCACTGAGGTACAAGGTGGAAGAGAAGAAAAAGATCATAGGTCATTCATATTTGCTGCATTTTGAATGGTGATTCGGTCATTCATACCATGCAGAATAAAAAATTTTCTCATCACAAACAGTATTATATGTAATATCAGCTTGCAACAAAGGTGAGCTTGTTTATTAAGATAATGGTCTCAGCTCACTTCCTGATTGGAGAGTTCTAGTTCCAATCAGCATGGCTGTGGTGTTGAGCCAGCCACATACAGTACAGCAACATTTCAGAATTTTGCTGAAGTTGTCCAGGAAGGATGGCTAGCAAAGAAGGCAACTGTCTACTCTGACTGTTGCTGTGACTGAGTGTATGTGTAAGCATCAGTTTTCCTTGGCCATGGTACCATTTAGCACCACAACATTCAGACTCACAGGTATCAGTGTAGAGAATTAACTGAATATGTACACTCTCAACTTCACACAACATCCACAGTCAACTTCACACAATATAACAGTGACCTTCACACAACATATAACTACAAACACAGTTTCAACCATTTAGGGGTTATTTTTCAACATAAAAAAAATACTGTTGCGAACATTGGGGAACATATCACACAGGGAAATGACTGATACTGATCTCTTCAAACTGTCATACAGGAACAGATTGTGAAAGAAGCACCTTGAATGTCTAGATTTCTAAAAACTGTCATACATCAGGAACAGATTGTGAAAGAGGCACCTTGAATGTCTATTTTTCTAAAAATTGTTATACATCAGGGACAGATTGTAAGAGAGGCACCTTGAATGTCTACATTTCTAAAAACTGTCATACATCAGGGACAGATTGTGAGAGAGACACCATGAATGTCTACATTTCTAAAAACTGTCATACATCAGGGACAGATTGTGAGAGAGGCACCTTTGTGACGAGCGAAAGCTTGGCGTACAGTGTGACGTGCTGTAAAGGCTGCGTGGTGATATGCGGCGTACCAAAGGTGAATAAGGGTGTCGCGATGTAACAAATGGCATCAACAACTTAATATGCCACTGGCCAAGAGTAACACAACATGATGAATGTTGAAGATTCCAAACGTAGCGGAGCGAGAACTCTCTTTAAAGGTTCCATTTGTGTATTGACAATAGCAATGATCAACACAAAGAGAAAATATGCAATTAATAATCCAGACTCATTCAAACACATCAACAAAAGCCCGCTCGTACATCCCTGGACTTATATGTTCTCACGACGGGTCGCAGTCCGACCTTGAGATCCAGACAGTCTTCTCTGTCTTCTGTTCCACAGTCTGAATAAGTTAAAGTAAGTATACCGGCTTACTGCCGAACTGTGACAAATATACCAGCTTTCTGCTGAGGTCTATAGTGGAGTCCCGGGGTAAAACGTCCTCAAGGATCCAACTTTATACAAAGTCTGCTTCCGTGGCATCCCGGGGTAAAACATCCTCAAGGATCCACCATGGCATCCCGGGATAAAGCATCCTCAAGGATCCACACCAAGGCCGGACCACCGTCCGCCTTGGTCAAACTTCGACTTTCATCTCCTAGAATACAATCCCTTCACAACCTGAGGTATTGTTTTGACGTCTTATTTGCTCACTCAGTACCGGTGTGTTCTAGTGCACATCAGCACGCAACAACCTTGAATGTCTAGATTTCTAAAAACTGTCATACATCAGGGACAGGTTGTGAAAGAGGCACCTTGAATGTCTAGATTTCTAAAAACTGTCATACATCAGGGACAGGTTGTGAAAGAGGCACCTTGAATGTCTAGATTTCTAAAAACTTTCATACATCAGGGACAGGTTGTGAAAGAGGCACCTTGAATGTCTAGATTTTTAAAAACTTTCATTCATCAGGGACAGATTGTGAGAGAGGCACCTTGAATGTCTAGATTTCTAAAAACTGTCATACATCAGGGACAGATTGTGAAAGAGGCACCTTGAATGTCTACATTTCTAAAAACTGTCATACATCAGGGACAGATTGTGAAAGAGGCACCTTGAATGTCTACATTTCTAAAAACTGTCATACATCAGGGACAGATTGTGAAAGAGGCACCATGAATGTCTACATTTCTAAAAACTGTCATACATCAGGGACAGATTGTGAAAGAGGCACCTTGAATGTCTACATTTCTAAAAACTGTCATACATCAGGGATAGATTGTGAAAGCAGCATCGTTGAACATCTTGATGTCCTGACACTTTCATACATCTGGGACAGATTTAAAAGGAGTCACCCTTGAACATCTGGATGTCTACAAATCTTTATCACATCAAGGACAAATTGTTCATAACATAGTTACAAACCTGAAATCCATTTACATTTAATGTCAGAATGACGTCAGTTCTCAAATATCAATCGACAATCTGCGGTAATACTTTTGTAGCAACATATTAACACTGACGCCTGTGTTGCTTTATTAAAAAGATTGCTGCATTAAAAACACAAATTACTCCGAACAATATATTGAAAACATCAATAACAGATCAAACAGATGTCATGCTAGAGTAAAAAGAAATAAAGTAACAGATGTAGTAATTTTGATTCTTAACTAACTACATAGAAGAAATTTTGCCTCTCAGAATTTTTTCTGATCTACTCTGTTGGAGAAAACATATCCGAATGTTGTATTTAATTGTAATATTCATTTGTTCTTTCAATAAAACACTTCAAAGCCAAATGTTTCCTCTATAACTGGAGATCTTCTAAGCCTGGTCTCACTGGGAACATGAAGTCCTGTGCCTGGTGCTCTGAAGGTTATGAGTTTCATTCTGACTCCATCTTTCAGTTTACAGCAGTAGGTTTTTGGAGGCCAACAATGGAGATGAGTCCTTTGTATATGGTTTGGTTGGCGACCAACCACTGTGTGGAGAGACAATAAGTATTGTGGGATAAACTTGGTGCATTGAAGTTGATTCTGTTGTTTCTTAAAACCCTTTTAGCCTTTTCAGTTATGACTGATTTGCTAGCTTCAAAGGTCTCTATCAATAAGATAGAAGAGATAAAGAGACGATCCTGCAAAACTTCTACCTCGCAAATGTTCTTTCAATGGGTCAAATGAAACTTTGACGGTATCAAGTCTGGGTTGTATGCTGAATGTTTCAATACTTCAAACTGCAGAGTCTGTAGTGTACCCACTTTATGCCCAGCCATGTGAGAGTGGTCGTTGTCATGCAGCAACATGTCACCATAACGAGCATTGGTCACAGATTTACCCCCTTTCCTGGAAATGAATCACTATAGGGCTATTGACATTCATAAGATGTTTAGCATGACCTTTCCAGCTGAAGCTCGTGTTGTGAACATTTTGGTGATGGTGGCGCTGGGTGCTTCCACGGCATCGATTGTCTCTTACTCTGGTTCATAATGAGGCTCCCAAGACTCATCACCTGTCACAATTCAATGGAGACAAGCATCTCCTTAGCTGGCATGATGGTACAAATGCTCCTGACAAATCACCTGCCTAGTGTTTTTCTGTTCATCAGACAGCTGCCTTGAAACCCATCTGTTACACATTTTTTTTTTCCTCACAGCCATCATGAACAATTGTGTATGCAGCACCATGACTCAAGTGGTGACCCGTCTGTTGTCACGGATTCGCTGCTCTGTCTGCTGTTTCACTGTCTTAGTTGCCATGCTAACAGTAACATGTCTCCCACTCTGCTTGTCATCACTGGCCTCATCCCTTCCGTTTTTAAAACTGTACACCTATTTAAACAATTTTCTAAGACACAAACATCTGTCTCCATATGACACCTTCATTTTTCAATAGATTTATGATGGTTTAACACCCTCTGCCCACACACAAAAACCAACATCTCGTTAACTCTTAAAGGATAAATGTTAACACTGCTGCGCCCATGTGGTATGAGCTGATGTCATGCGTATACTACTGAATTATCATGACACGAGTACTGCAAAAGGGCTATTCTGTGTCCGGAAATTATATTTTTTTTGCATACTGTTTCATGAAGACTATGGTACAATCGCCTTTACTTAATGACTTTCCCTCATAATTAGTCTAATTATCTCATCTATGTGCATTCTTCCTGTACCGTATGGTGTTGGGCGATAATCAGTATGGTATGGAAACAATCTGAAAAAACACGTTTTTTCTGCTGGATGAGACAAAGCACATATGGGCAAGTCCCAGCTAGTATAAACATAAATACTAGTTTACGAGTTCTCATTGTGTAGATGTTGTGTGCTAAGTTTTACTATTCATAAAGGTGCAGCACATGCGACATAAATGACTGGGTAGCAGCAGCGATCATTGAACAGTATATTCTCATACATCAGTTATTTCATTGCATAACTAACACTGGGTAGCAGCAGCGATCATTGAACAGTATATTCTCATACATCAGTTATTTCATTGCATAACTAACACTGGGTAGCAGCAGCGATCATTGAACAGTATATTCTCATACATCAGTTATTTCATTGCATAACTAACACTGGGTAGCAGCAGCGATCATCGAACAGTATATTTTCCTACATCAGTTATTTCATTGCATAACTAACACTGGGTAGCAGCAGCGATCATTGAACAGTATATTTTCATACATCAGTTATTTCATTGCATAACTAACACTGGGTAGCAGCAGCGATCATTGAACAGTATATTTTCATACATCAGTTATTTCATTGCATAACTAACACTGGGTAGCAGCAGCGATCATTGAACAGTATATTTTCATACATCAGTTA